CCGATAAATGCATTTTTCTTTATTGTCCGTCGAAAAATCAGACTATAATCCCACTTTCAGGCAAAAATTTGTATCTAACAAGCTTTGTAGCTACATGCAGCTGCGAGTTCCTTTCATAGAACGCCATTTTGAGTCCCATTATCTTTCTTTTCATCGAAATACATTCTCTAAATAGTGTTTCTGTACTACATCCAGTCGCCCTAACACGCTCGATATTTTAAGGAACTTAAACTGTAACGGTGATTAAGTAGCTACATAATACGACTTATATCGATCCACGTCTTCCCCCGGTACCAAACGATGAATATACTAATATCTATTTTTCAAAGTGACTTTTAACTACTGGGTTTTCCAACGGGTATAATTAGATTTCTTAGTATCGTTTTTCATGGTGCAATTTTTTCCATTCTATTCAGTAATATTTACAATTTCGTCATCGTCATAATCATAATCAGTCTAGTGTTGCTGGTGACCGTAATTTGTCGATTCCAAGATGTTCTCGCGGGTTTCCACAAAGGATTTGTTCTTGCAATCGTATAAAATTGCTCTCACCCAAGAACTGAAGCCATGAGACTACCGCAAACGTCGTGAGTTTGTTGATTTTGCCTTGGAACAACTTGAAAACGATAACAATTGTCTTAAGAGGCTCGCTTTTTTCTGAGTGGAGCAGAAAATAATCAAAACTCTCGATTCTGGAGCGATGTAAATACACAAATTATGATGTATGAACAACCTCCGTTACTGTCGGAGGAGAATGATATATTCAAGAAATTGTCATTTAACAAAAATTAACTACTTCTTGCGGGGTTACTTGAAGTCATTGATCTTTAGTAATAAACCAGACTCTCTTGAGAGGAGTCAATATTGAACGTGCTTTCATGACTTTATTTAGTGGAAAAGGACTCCAAAATTAGGTTCATCGAATTGGTTCCTGCAAAAGAAGTCGAGGAGGCCATTGGAATCATGTTATATTCGGAATTTAATTGTATCGACTTTACTTCAGACGAAATAAGAAACATGTGAAATTCCTTAATAAATATTTTTTTAAGAAATCTATCGCAGTTAATTTCATGAACACTTGTGATCAAAATTAAGTGAGCTTGCAGACTAAGGGTATTCTGCGTGAAGGGGTTTTACCAGTGTGACAGTTTCAAAAAATCGATTTTTTCATTTTTGTATAGTTCGTATTTTCAAAAATATCCAGTAAAATTGGCAAGGTCGTACCTTGAATAGTTTTTGAGCGCCAGCGTTCTAAGGAGCGACCGCTCGCAGGTTTAAATAGGATAGTTGAAACTTTAAACGCGTTTTTCTCGAAACGACATTTTCCAAATTGCTGGCATCATAATTCTCCGAGAAATTTACCTATCGATCAAATTGAAACTGTGTATTCTTGAATATATTTAGTATGCAATGACTTACGATCGTTTTGATTGGTTGAAAATTGTCAATTTGCCACTAGAAAATCACATGTCATATCTAAAAAATGACACTTCATCTTAGAACTACACCATTTTGTTAATATTGATATTTTTCAAAAATCGTTGGTCAATGTATAGGCAAAACCTTCAACTTTAATAACTTTTAGATTCATTTTGAGCTACTTATACAGCGGGATTTTTTTTTTTTTTTTTTTTTTTTGCCGCGCTATTGAGCAAATTGCCATATACTGAAGATATACATTTTTTGAAGGTTCAATAAATTTTATCAATTACATTTTTTATTTCATATCATGTTTTCGTAAATATGTGATTTCAGCTAATAAGTATTTGGAAATTACAAGGCTTCAGTAGGACGGTACGTACTTACTGCAAGAAACATACAAGATGCTTTCCAAAGTAAACAGGACTTAAAAAAAAAAAATAAATGATTTTTCGGCAAAATCAATTTATTCTATTCTTCTGCTTCAATACAGCTTTTTGCACAGTCCAAAAGTTTGTCGAACGAATGTTTTAGCTCGTCAGCCGGTATGGCCGCCAGTATGCCGGTGCAAGCCTTTCAATTTCCTCTAGTCTGCATAACGAAAAGGAAGAAGTCGCACAGTGCCATATCAGGTGAATACGGGGAGTGGTTAACGGTTAAAATGTGATTCTGAGCAATTTTTGGTCGTCAGTCAATTCGTGCGGAACAAAACGTGCACACTCCTTTCGTAAGCCCAAATGTTCAGTTAAAATGCGATAAATCGATGTTTTGGCGATGTTCAATTCCATTTTCATGAATTTCAAGGATGATTTCGGCTGATTTTTGATGAATTTTGATTGGCCCACATGTTGATCGTCATTTATGTCCTCACGACCACTGAAAACGCTGAAACCACTCGTACACTCTGTTCCGGGATAGGTAATCATCGTCATAAACATGTTTCATCAATTGAAATATTTCGGCATAAGGTTTACCGACTTTAAAACAAAATTTAATGTTGGCTCTTTGGTTGAAGCTCACTTTCGCACCGATAACACAAACACACTGACACTTAAAACCCAATAACTTCACTTCAAATCGATGGAATGTCGTGAAATTCACTGAACAATCGTTAAAGTGAGCAAATTCTAACGCACCAGTCGACATATAGATGGTGCCACCAGGCGCTAGATTCAAAAAGTCCTGTTTACTTTGGAACGCACCTTGTATGTTCGATTAATTTCGATACATTACATTTTCATTTCTCTACATTTGTTTATTATATTTCGTTATTATTAACATATTAGGATTTAAGCTCCAACTTATAGTAAACTGTGTATATCCGTAGTAAGTTTAATAAAGAAGTCGAAATGAATTTTTTTGAATGTCCTTAAGTTTTTCTTCAACCGATTGATTGATTGATAATGAAGCAAATTTATATTTTCATACTCATCTGGTAAATATGTGTTTCACCTCTATTCAAATTATGCAAACGTATATAATTTAGTTTTTACTACTTTTTCCACAATTATTTACTTATTACAGGGTTCCCACTTTCATCACTCACACGTCTTATTTTTCACTCGCTACGATTAAGACATTCACCATAAAGCGTTCGATATGTGTATATACAAATATGAATATGTACCTTATTTACACATATGACAGCGCTCAAACACCCTTTATCTATTCCTAATAACTTCATAGGTAATCCTTTGGCCATTGTTAACACATCCCTTTGTTAAAGAGTTTCTAAAACGAAGACACTATTGTTTCAATCCACTTGCATCATTGCTATTTATAAATAGTACTTTGGCTTTTGTTTGCTTGTTGAAGCATTTCCTCTTGAGATGGTCTCATGCCTCAACCCTAAAAAACGATTATTTTGGTGCGAAACGCGGAAAAAGCGAATAAACAGTTACATGTTCGTTCGCTACATAATCCCACAGATGGGTGCGCACATAAGTGGGCGTTTATATTCAATTTGCTACGCATAAACGCCTATGCTTATGCAATGAAGAGCAGCATTTTTCCCGCAGCTGGCTCGTTTATCCCCTTTTTCGACTGTATTATGCTGCAGTTTAACCTAATAATCAACGCATCAACAAACAATGTTGTGATTTTTCATTTTTGTTGGCCCCGCACTCATTTGTATTCACCCAACACAGTCATACACACACACATGCATCAGGCATACACTTAATCCGTGCCGCCTTCAAGGGTAGTAGCAAAACTTTTATTGAGTTTTATTAGGGGATGTTTATTTACGTCGCCTTCTTAATTTGTTATCTGCGTACAATTGGCAACGTTGATTTGACAGTTGCCGTATTCTACATTTCGTCGCGCTGAGGCTTAATAAATATGTTCGAGCTCGTGTTATGGTGATTCAAAAGCAAGTGCCGTAATCAATTAGGAGTGGAGAAATTACTGTCAACGAGATGCTTTGCATCTCTATTCTATTATTTTCCTTGTCTTTAGTCACACAATGCTTATGATCTGTAATGTGATGTCAATTTTAAATCAATTTGTAAATAAAATAGAATGTTAATAGACTATATAAAAATCTAAATTTAGTGCTACTAATCGAGATATATTATATGTTTATACATATATAAATGATCAGGTTGACGAGGTGAGTTGAATTCCGAGTGACTTCCATCCTGGCCGCCGGTGCCAACGATACTTGAGTAAAAATTGAGAAATCTGAAAGAACTTGACTGTTGACTCCAAAGGAGGGTTGGTATTGCATGGGCGGAATGGAACCTTTGTCACGCCCATAAAACGCCATTAACCTAAAACCATAAACCACAAAAGTACCATAACTAATATCCACAATAAGATGAAAGGCTGCTATTCAAAACAATGAATTACTTTAGGGAAGGCCATCTATTTTGTAAAAGTGGGCGATATTAAACTTCTCCTATTGAATTTATCTCAGACATATCCTATTTGAAGATGTTTAGAATATAGTTTTCGTTGGCTATGTATAACTATATTTTACAGTTATAAAACTAATTTCGTCTACGATCTATAATATTAGCTTATAAGACACAAATGTTATTTTAACCCATTTACTAGTTTTTTAAAACAAACTTTTGCCAACACCAAAGATATTCCCACGACTTTGAAGCTGGCAAGTCGGAAGAGTATGTATTCAGTTACCCCAAACTTAGCCCTTCCTTATATATACACATATAGAATTGATGAACCACCTAATTTCAAGAAAGACACTCAATCAAGTTTGGTGCTTATCGAAAAGTGTGCATAACAACTTTGCCAATACCGTTAGAAGAAATGAATAAAAACATCGACTGTAGAAACAATTCAAATAAAGTCTCGCAAATTTTTTCATATCTAATATAAACTGTAAGAATGTTCCTGAAAATCATACATTCAGTAATGTTTTACAAATTGAGCTGTCCTAAAGTTTTCCCACCGAGTAGCTGTTCGGATTTAAAAATGACATACATACATAAGCGCAGTTTTATTTATTTAAATCTTTACTTTTTCTAAAAGTTTATTATTACAACTAAGGCTTCTTAAGTATATGGTTACAATTAAATTTTTCGCTAAACAAAATATGATTTTTGACATAAATGCGATGAATGAAGGAAAATAAAAAATTTGGCAATAAATGTATAACTTCTATAAGGTCATATGACCAAATTTGAATAAATCATCTCATCAGTTAAGAACGTTATGGTTCTCGCAATCAAATTTATAAAATTTACATATACAATTTACATATGAACAACATTTAAAGTATTTAATTTTAAATTGCAACTTGTAAGCACTTTGGAGTAATAAGTCTTAGCAGCTAAAACATACTTACATATACTCAGTAAAAATATGAGTAGTATTACTTACGCATACGCTAGCATTTACATTTTAAATAATAGTCTACATAGCCGGTTCAGCAACCACCGCAATGGCGGTATTACCCATGGAGCTCCCACCAAATCTTAAAGGAGTTGGTCAAATAATATTGGGCGGTGCTTGAGTGCCCGCGGACAGTGCCAGCGTGGGTGAAGATTTGGCTGATTTGATGCCGCAACCGTATGATGAAGCGATGCTGCCCGTACCGTTGCTGCTGGGCGGTGACGGCGGTGTCTCAGGGCTAATGAGCGGTGCGCAACCAAAGTATCGCCATGGATGATATAGGCTACCGGCGTACATGGCTTGTAGACGGGCCTGCAAATCGAGTGCTATGGTTGGATCCAGAGGGTAGTGGGTTAGCGCTGTCGCTGCCGGAAAAGCGCCCGGTATATGTCGTGACGGCATATTCAATGTCAATTCTAGAGGCGTTGCGCCAAAACCATACTTGGCCGCATTGACAATATGATGATGACTTGTGGGCGAATGTTGTTGATGATGGGCAACAACGACTGCCGCTGCAGCCGCGGCTGATGTGCCCAGATGGCTATGTGGCGACTCCTTTTGTGAGCCATTCACGCCGGAGCTAGACACAGGCGGCTTATTGAGTGTCTTCGGCTTGCGACGCGGCCGGTATTTGTAGTCGGGATGCTCCTTCATGTGTAACGCTCTGCAAGAGAGGAAATATGTATTCAAATTTGATATATGCGATTAGAGGCCAAGTGGTTGGAAAAAACGTTTATTGGCGGCACTTTGATGTGAATGGAAATAATAAGCATACAGACACATGCATACATATGGGAATATAGTTTCATAAATTGTTGCAGTTGTAGGCGTAATAAAAGGGTTGCAACGCAAACACCAAAGAAATTGAAAGTTTTTATCAGGAAAATGCATTGACTATGTCATATCTTCTAGTTGTTAAATATATTTTTTATCAAAGTCCCAAACAGTTAAGTACTCATATCTGCTAACATGCGTAGTATATATATACATGCGCTTGTATATGAATGCGTGGTTGTTAATAAAAATCAAAAGTATTTCATTGTTGGGATGACCGACAATCAACCATTGTTGGTGCGGCTCTGAGCGCGCTTTATTCTCCCTTCATTCATTTGTCAATTGATAATAGCACCAATTACAATTCAAACAATTACTGCCTTTCTTGCCCGATAATTCCTTGATACCCTCTCTTTTCATATCACTTCTTCTTTAATCAATATGGCATATGGGTATTTACTTAGGTAACATAACGAAATATGTACAGAGTGTCGTATTTTCACATAATCACACATAAAAATAATAACGCGTAAGATGGGTTACTTTCGGCGCACAACTTGGCGGATTTTGGGCCGAGCTTCGTTCTTAAATTTGACTTATTTATCTATTGGTGGATAATAGGGTTGATTTTAGGAAGTATTTTTGGTGTTAATTATTTAATGAACTGTCTGCAATTAGTAGCTTTATATTAATGGTGTATTGAGTTTTATATCCGAGTGAACACAAGAGTTACCGAGCTGTGCACACGCACTCAACCATCAGCTTTTCTACACAGTTTTATGCATTTGAAAACACAACACATACGAAATCATTGTACTCAAGGGAATCTTAGACGTTTTATTGTTTTCTCAAGCTGATTTGCTTATCTGTTCATCGATAACACTTCAGGTATCGTGCTCGGTCGTATTAAGCACACAACACCTTTCGGTCTCACAATGGCAACAATGCCAGCAACAGCAATCAAACAATGTGTTTCCTTGTTTGCGAATGAAATGTTATATTATATTTACACTGGCTTTATCGGTCCCGCCGGGTACGCGTATAATCTCGCCTGAAAGAGTCCTAGGGAGCGTGGTTGGCCGATCGGCAATGGTCGACCTTTTAAGTTTGGATATTGATTGTCGAGCGACTGTGCCTTTGAACTGAAGTACATTAATTTATTTATTATTTATTATACACACATATATTTTTGATTCGATCGTCATGTGTTCCTGTGGAATCTGGTCGCCTCAGGCATGCGTATGTGCAGAAATAAACAAGCGGGTGCAACATGAAACCAAAAACCTAAGTTTTTTGTGCGCAATTTTGAATTTTTGAATTTAATTACCAATCTTAAGTTTTGTTCTACCTATGGCTTCAAATCCACTTACATTCAAATTTTTATATATTTAGATGTTCCCCGATGGCTCACTGGAGTCGCTAATACTGCTTTATTTTAATTTATTACACTTAACGTAAAGAATATAATATACCTAAACAAGTATTCACAGCTGGTAAAATATATGACAACAGATAAGAAATACAGGAAATTGAATTTTGAGCGAAGGTTCTTACTTCTTACTCACGATTCGCTCATCATCTAAAGTTAGTATTGTATAATACTATGAGAACATATACAAGGAAGAAATTCTAAAAAAAAATAAAAAACTACTGTTTTAAAATCTAACTTCTTTGCTACTACTAATTCCTTTTCTCGTCATTGGTATTCGAATATTGACAACTTCGTGGTATAAATAGGAAAACATTTGTGGTAAGAAAGAAAATCTTAAATAAAAATAGTATATTTGAAATCATAACTATGTGTTCAAAATGCATTTGAGAATAACTCGAATATTAGCAATCGTTTTTGATTTGTACAAATTATTCAAAGAGGATCGAGAACACGTTGGCGATGAACCAGGGCGGCCCTCAAGATCAACTGATGATCAACATGTCAATAAAATAAGGGAATTGGTGTTTGGGAATCGACGATTAACAGTCACAGATCTTACTGGCTTCGTTGGAATATCAGAAGGATCAGTGAAACTCATTTTGAAACATCATTTGGGTATAAGAAAAGTGAAGGCCCGATTGCCTCCAAAATCACTAAATTTTTTCGAAAGCAATGTTTTTCAACTGCTAGAGTTAGGACTAGGACGTATTATGACGATGTGTCTTGTATCCATGCTAACGGCCCAGAAACAGACGACAAATCGACCGAATATCATGGAAAAGGTAAAACGAAGGTGGAATACCACGTCAAAGCAGGTCAAAAATCAAGGTTATATTGGCGCTTTTCTCGATTATCGAGGTGTGGTGAGCTCCGAATTCCTTCCGACCCGCAAAACTGTCAACACGGAATACTATTTGATGTGTCGTTTGTGCGAAGCTATTCATAAAAGGAGGTCGGAATTATGGGCATTATCCAACAACTCTTGACCACAATAATGCACCGTTGCACACTGCAATGATTCTTCGTTAGTTTTTCACTAAATTTTCAACCAATTTCGACGGACCAAAAAAAGCAAACATCCGTGAGGTTTGCCATTTCATCATGGTAAGATATACGATCCAACAAAGAGTCGAAATTACTAAAATTTGCTACCGGAATTCGGAGCCATTTGCAACAACTTTAAGAGAACTACGTAAAATTTATGGACGTCATAATCGTCCTGTCAGATTCAACAACGGGGTGTCTAGTAGACAAATTTGAATCCACATTGAAAAATCATGAATGACCTTGTCAATAAGCAAAATATGGGCCGGCGGCGTCATTGGGTCGTACCTCTTCTGTGATGATCAATACCTCCACGTTACTGTGAATGGAAATCGCTTCCACTCAATGATAACCGAATATTTTTGGCCCGAATTGGGTGACATGGGCTTGGTAAACATATGGATCCAGCAGGACAGCGCCACTAGACACACAGCGAATGTCTCAATCGATTTATTGAAAACCAAGTTTGGTGAACGTGTTATCTCACGAAATGGGCCAGTCAATTGGCCGCCTTTGACGCTGTTAGACTATTTGCTGTGGGGCTACGTAAAGTACGGACCTCAACCGAATATCGAACGTGAGTATCGTCGAAAATTGGGTTCAGCGCATGGACTTCTACAAGTGTGCCCGTGGTGTCCACGTTAAAGAAATCGGGTTCCATACATAATGGCATCGAATGTTTTTCCACTGGAATAAAGAATGTCATTGATATCCCAAACCGTTTTTGTTTTATAAAAAAAAAAAAAAACTTTTGTAGCGCTCATATTGAAAAACCTAATATATGTAAGTAGATTATGACGTTTTAAGAGTGTGACTACATTGATTTCTAATATCGATATTTTGGTGGAGATCGCCGTAAATGTTAAAAGGTCTTATACGAGAACATTCAACAGCTTCTTTCATTCCTTTGATTGAATATATGCACAAGTATACATACAAACGTATAATAAGCATACATATTTCTAGGATTGGATAAGTGTACATACTCAGATATTATAGATATATGTACATAGATTTCGGACAGATGTTAACATTTTCACACATCACTCAAACAATCGGTTCCTCTCTGCGCACAACACACCAAACAAAGAACTAATTTCCTTCACTGTGCATACGGATGCCGAGATTATGAAAAATTTTATATTTTTATCTTTAGTTCTTTCTTTATTGATATTATTATTGATAATTTTGTCATTATTATTATTGATGCTACTGTTTATTTTCCCCATAATATGAGTGTAATAACTCAAGTACAGAGGAAGTAACGAGATTTGCAAAAAAATCTTATTCTCTACTGGCGCAGACACCGCTTACGCGATTATAGCCGAGTTAACAACAGCGCTCCAGTCGTTTCTTCTTTTTAGGTCACTCTCTAATTGATCTATCCAACGGAGTGGAGGTCTTCCTCTTCCTCTACTTCCTCCGGCGAGTACTGCGTCGAATACTTTCAGAGCTGGAGCATAGCCTCTGTCTTTTCATTCGCTGAGCTATGTCAATGGCGTCGTATATCTCATACAGCTCATAGTTCCATCGAAAGCGATATTCGCCGCAGCCAATTCTCAAGGACCATAAATCATTCGCAGAACTGTTCTCTCGAAAATTCGCAGCGTCGACTCATCAGTTGTTTTCATCGTCCATGCCTCTTCACCACATAGCAGGACGGGTATAATGAGCGCCTTGTGTAGTTTTGTTTTTGTTTGTCAAGATAGAGGACTTTACTTCTCAATTGCATACTTAGTCCAAAGTAGCACATGTTGGCAAGAGATATTCTGCGTTGAATTTCGAGACAGAAGATATTTCGTCTTTCTCTCGTTCACAACCAGACCCAGTCGCTTCATTCTGGGGAAAGCAGAACTAACGGCGCGGTTGTTGAAGCCAATGTTATCAATATCATCGGCGTACCCAGCAACTCTTATAGAAGATGATACCTTCTCTGTTTCTGCAGCTCGAATTATTTTCTCCAGGAGAAGGTTGAGAAAGTCAGACGATAGAGAGGCGTCTTGTCTGAAACCTCGTTTGGTATTGAACGACTCCCGATCATGATGGAGCCTTTAGTGTTGCTCGATGTTAGTTTACACAGTCGCGGGGTATTCCAAATTCAGACATCGCGGCATAAAGGCGGCTCCTTTTCGTGCTGCCAAAAGCAGCTTTGAATAGGTCGTGTGTGTCAATTCTTTTTTCACGGGAGATGGCGTATGGTGAATATCTGGTAGGTTGTTAATTTTCCAGGTCTAAAGCCAGACTAATAAAGTCCAAAGAGTTTGTTGCCGGTGGGCTTTAATCTTTCACACAATACGCTCGCTAAAAGACATCAAAGAACATATAAAAAATACTACCATCATATACATCTCCGAGATTGAACTAGCTACCAACATCACTACAGAGATCAAAACTCAACTGGTGTTCAAGACGTTCACTCGTCTTAGAATAGGCAACACTACAAGAACTCACAGCCATATTCTTAACGGTACCGATCAACCAAGCTGTCACCATTGCCACGCTCCCACCCAATCAGTCAGTCACCTCATCGATGAATGCCCTGCACTGCATTTATTAGGGAAATCAACCTTTGGCAATAAGAGACCTTCCGACCTTCTCAAAGCAACAAACAGCGATAACATCAGTGCCATTAATAAATTTCTTAAACTGTGTAACATCAAAGACATATAACACCACATACAACTAAGTAACCTTACTAAATATTTTCTTTTCACCATAACCTTAGTATTAAGAGCCGAAGGCTATGGTAGCCAGTGCTGATTCTTACAAGTGGATTAATTATTTATWATTAGTTCTCTTTTAAATAAATAAATAAAAATAATAATAAAAAGTTTGCTGTTTTATTTAGGAAACCGCTTTAAGGATATTTTTTAAAATATGTGGTTTTAATTTTTAATTGAAAATGAAATCGCTTAAAAAACATTACCATCAAAATAACTGACAAAAAGTAAAAAATAATTTAAAAGATCACACTTTAACTTTTTATTTTATGTTCATAGGTACTATCTATTATTAGTATCATTACTATAACTTTTACAAAAGTATTTTCTTATCGTTTCTGTTTAACTGTTTATAATTAATCCGAAAATCATAAAATAAACTTTAGGGTAAGGAACGAAATTTTTTTTGTAGAGTCGTGTTATGTATGTATTAATTGAAGTTTTAAGTTATGTGGTTGGTTTGGAATTAAAAACTGATCCTATGGTATTATTTTCCAGGTTTGCTCATCCTGTGTGTACTTGATTTCCATTACATCATTCTAAGAGGCGTGCAGCTAAGATGAAATAGCAGTAAATTAATTGTAAAGGGCTAAATTAATTGTAAAGGGCTGTCATTGTAGCAATCCAATCCGATAAAAATTTAATAGTTTACTTGCATGTGGAATGTCCATGCAACAGCTGTAATACATCATTGCCGCGGCTAACAAAGCGCATAGTGAAGCATTTACCATTTTTACCAGCTCGGAAAGAACATAAATGAAGCGCTCGAACAAATAAGTCAGAATTTATACACATACTTCATATAATATATTCATACATCCATTTTATTAAACTCTTTGATTATAAAATTTAACTGATTGCTTTCTTATAATCGCAATGAATCAATTTATTATACTTGCGTTACTACTAGAGTCAAAAACTGATGGCGCAATTGCGACAATTTGCATTTTATAATTTAATTAAACTTGCTGTCCAACCACACATTCATACATCACATATGAAGACAGGAGCTCTTTCAAAAAGAATAGATAAATAATGAAAATTTAGTTAACACGATTTTATCATATGCAAACGAAACGGACCGAAATGATAATGTCAAAAATTTGTGTCATTCATATTCACCAACCGAATACTGAAGCGTCTTTAAGGTGATTTTATTTACATATGTACATATGTGTCTACATGTGTAAATAGGTAGCTGATCGACGCTTCCGATAGTCCAGCGAGTGGAACAGATATCCATATGTTCAACGAAAGGCTTGGTTTCACGTCAGCACTTTATGACAACTGACAATCGCGTACAAATATTATTAATAAACAAAATATACATAATTAATTATAATATTGAGATTGGGGTAATGACAGTTGAAATGGACAGTTGCGTCAGTTATACCGTATTGTATGTTTGTACGCACGGTACTCTTCAGGTTCCAACTATGAGCGAATGAATTAAAAGGTCACTCGATAAGATCTGCGGGTGATCCAGCTCGAGAGCTCTTTCAAATTTTACTATCTTTTTCAATCATATTTAAATACTGCACGTACAAGTGTTTGGGAAACCTACTCAATATTGTGGAATTACATTTATATCGGAACTCACGGTAGGGCATAGTAGGGAATCCGCCAGTGGCGACAGATATTAGAATTTGAAGTGTTTGCACAAATTTAAGTTAAAACCCAACAAATATTTTTTTTTATTATTTCAATAGTTTAAGGCAAACATTTCCCAATTGACTTTTTTTGGTTGTTCGGATAATTTTGTTATGACAAGGTGACTACTAGTAGTTTACTAGACGTTTAGACACCAATTTACAATTCTTGTTGCCTTCTATAACTGATAACTACTACCTCAAAAACCTTATTGCTAGCGAAGGTGGCAGAACCTGAGGGCTCTGCATTCATATACAAATATATACACACACAAACAACACAAACAATGTACAAGTAATTGGAAATTAACGCTGAAAATTCGTTTATCGAAAAGTGTGGAACTACCTTGTGATGAGCCGTCAACTTCGATTTGAGTATATACTTTTTGAAAGTTAGGATACACTGATTTAGGTCGTTCGATTAAAAAATTAAATTGTTTATCAAGTAAGTGTACCAGAGTAGAATAAAAGTTTCTGTGAGTGAGAAAATCGCAAATTGCTAAATAAATAAAACTCGTATTAGTAGCGATAAGGAGCAACAGTAATGTCAACTATTCTAAGTTCATTACATAAAACAGATATATGTATACAGAAGATAAATATGGTGAATATTATGCCAGTGTGTATTCATATACATAAGGGTTTATTACAATAACTGTCGTTGTTAATGCGAATTCTCCGTTAACTGCTCAATCAGGGCATGACAGTTCCCTTTTAAAATCTCAATTCGCATCGGCTCTTCATCAACAACGCCATCGTCGATCTGCCCACATATGTGCCCAGAGATTTATGGTATGTGTGCCAATGCACATCCAAACAGACAATTGCAAGTGTGTGTGAATAAGTAGCTTACCGTAAACGCTTTGCTTCATCGATGAATGGTCGCTTTTGTCCCTCGGTAAGTAATTTCCACTCGGCACCCAAACGTTTGGAAATCTCTGAATTATGCATTTTTGGATTGTCCTGCGCCATTTTGCGTCGCTGTCCGCGTGACCAGACCATGAACGCATTCATTGGCCGCTTAATATGGTCGTTTTGTTGCTGGTGATGATTGTGATGGTGCGACTGATGTGGGTGCTGGTGTTGCTGATTTGAATGTTGTTGCGAGTTGAACGCAGCGTTGGCGGTTGATAATGAGGAGTTCGCAGCTATAGTTGTATGTTGCTGATGATTGTGGTGTTGTTGTTGGTTGTGTTGATGATGAGGCTTGTGCGGCATCGTCATTGCTGCGGTTGTAGCCGCCATCGTCATGTTAAGCGCGTCCGATCCAGTTAGTTGTGGCGGCGACTCTCCGCCACTACTAATTTCACTACTACTGCGACTGCTGCGACCACCATCGCCATTGTGCAAACGCGACCGGTAGTCTGCGGGTTGTTTTTGTTGCTGCTGTTGAAGAATTGTGGACATACTCGTCATTTTTGATCCTTAACTTGAGGGCCACTTTAAAACTGGTATTAACTTTTCCTATTTATACACCTTGTTTTGCAAATTGTTCAGGTTTAGACAAGTTTTTTAAGAATTTTGAGTTCTTCTTGAAATATGTTACGTATGGCTTTCTGCTACACCTGAAATATAAAAAAAATTAAATTTGATGTCAATTGAAGAATATGCTATATTTATAATATATATATATCTGACAATCTGTGAGATATATTATTAAAATTCGGCTAGAATCCTTTATCCTTACAGAATGCCTGTATATCAAAAATGGGGTTAATCGAGCCAATACTTCCGTATGACTGTATACCGAATATATCGATCAATATGTGGATTATCTTAATGAAATTTTGAGAGCGCATTTACTCAATAATAGTATAATGTAGATAAAATCGAGTAAAAGCTTGACATAGTCCCCATATAACTAATACCAGCATTTTCAAATATTATACCTTGTTGACTCTACTCCTTGTATATTGTTGACGATATTTGAGATACTTTTATGAGTATCTTTTTCTGTTAATACATAATATATGGTAATGCCAAAAATAGATAAAAACGGCTCAATATTATACATATCTTCCATATATCTAATATAAAATTTTAAATTCTTTAGTCGATCAATATGAGTTAAATTCCCTTAGCAAGTGCGCAATTTAGTTCTGGATATCGGAAAGGGTTAAGCTCTTATTTTTTTATATCTTGCATGCATGTGTTTCCACATGGCACTAAGCACTAAGTACGCATTGCTTTCACAAACTCACTTAAGACTCCTCTCCCAATGGCCCGAACCTGTCGAGAATAGCTCAGGTTTCTTTGCCCACCATTAACGGATTTCGATGACAGTTAATTTATTGCTTGCCTTCCCGCAAGGTATGTCTAATCGTTATAACAACAACAATAGTTATATGTAAGATATTTTAGCAAAATTAACAGAACTTATAAATTTGGAAACAGTGTTACCAATTTGGGGTGTTTTCACTTAAATTTTGTATTTAAAAGAGACGGAATTTTTTAGGGTTTTTATATCTCTATTTGTATTTTCAGGGGCTTTCTTTACTTTGAATATTAATTTTCTGAACTGAAAATTCTACAAATAGTAACAGAGTACCGAAGCAAATTGACATATTTTTATTTTTTTAACAAGTGATAACATTAAACTTACTTAACTCTTTGAAAATCTATTTTTTTGATACAAACATTTATTACATCGACTTGATATTTAGAGAAATTTGTGGATACGGAGCTGATTGAGTTTAATTATAAAAACATTCTGAAGTACACAACTTCAATGTATTGTCAGCGATAAGGCACATAAACTCGCTTAGAAACTTATCGGCGGCTAAAGGAAAATATTGGAATTTTCTTTGTTGTTTATCAGAGCAGATTAAAGCTAATTGCCGATTTACATCCAAAAGTGCTACCTCTCAGGTAAAACCTGATATCAAACCAATATCAAGTCACATCAACAATCTAAACAAAAATAACGCGGAGTCAATGATTAGTAAGCAATGGTAAATTTTTTCTAACTCAGCAGATTTTTACTATGAAATGAGTTTATAATGATTTAGACGCAGGTGGCTGTAAGTGCTTCGAAAATGCCTCGAACTCTTACTGTCATTTGTCACTGTATCTATTTCCATTGGTGAAAAATAAGTGACCTAATTGACTTCCAATTGAGATGTTGCTAAACATAATGATGGTTTGACCCACGTGGCAACGGAATGGTGGATCGCGTTCAGCCTCTCAACCATGTTAAAATTTCTTATATACTTGAAGTGATATATTGCACAAAATAGCAAAACTTGTTGTTAATGATTTATATTTTTTCATTTTTAATGTTCAATTTATTACTATTTCATTAATATTTGATTATTTACATTAAAAAAAGTATTATTATAAATAATTGGATATATGACTTTATTCTAACTGACTTACTATTTTAATAAAAACACTCAGGCGAATTTAGTGGAGTTTTTGGGATATAAATTTTGGAAAGTAGAGAACACATTCTGGAAATACTATAATTTAAAATATGTGAACTAGTCAATTCCTATATGCCACATACTCGTGTAAATTACTCGTGAAACGAATTGCTCTAGGTCTTCATATAATTCTCATATTCTTAATATAATCAATGCCGACCATCTGGTTGACGTTTTTCACATCAAATCAATATATTAAATTTAGTCTCTTCGGTTGAGTTTATATCCCATATATCTCATTTAAGTATGATTTTAATATAATTTTCGCTGACGGAAATTAAAACGTTGTGATAAAACTAAGCGAAACTATGGCCCTAGCAAGTAACATTTAAAAATTATAAACTTTAATCTATTTTTTAATTTTGGCTGTTGAAATTTTTGGTTCTGTAGCTAAGCAGCTTAAGATCGCAACGCTTAAAACTCTCTTGCCTTTTATGACTCGGCTAATTCCGCTCGTTCGCGGATTGCGATCCTCGCGTCGGTTGTTCGGGAAGAGGGTAATCGATCTGTATTATTGCTATTATTATAATATAAGTTAATAAGATATACATTTACATTACATCCAATCAGGATGTCGTCGAGCAATGAGTGTTGAACCCTTTCCCAACATTTTTTTAAATGCAACAATGCAAATAAATAAAATATTTGATTTTACCCGAATTAAACGCTTCCTCACTTTTTTTAGGGTCTTAGGGTGCCTACAGAGTGGACGCTCAAAGCCGAGCCGAGCGCAAAGCTGATTTCTATCAGCGCTTATAGATTTTAGGCGTGTACTTTGTCAATGTACGGTCCTGCTATATTTCTTCTTCGTTGCAGTTTCTTTTTACCGAAAAGGATTAAGTTCGAATATAATTTTATTTTTATTTTTTTTTTTTAATGAATGTAAAATAAAGAAACATCACGTAAGGAAATACGGGTATTACCTACTTCCCGATAGATTAGGAAACTGCAGTCACCAACTTGGTATATTCTAACACATTCATAGTAATTTGTAAGCAGACAATATATGCATATATTAAGTTGTCAAATATCTCCCTAGCGCCAAGTGATTACCACCTGTTCCTGTCCATGGCGAACGCTCTTGTTGGTGTAAAGTTGAACTCAAAAGAGGCTTGGAAGAAGTGGCTGTCCGAGTTTTTCGCAAATAAGGAGGGGGCTTCGACGAGGGGGGCATTATGAAGTTGCCGTCTAGATAGAAACAGAATATCGAACGAAACGGCGCATATTTGAAGTAAAGCCGATCGCTGTAACACTTTTTATAAAGCATTGAATAAAGAGCAAAAAAGCGGAAGAAAGATATTTGACAACCCAATACAAATGAACTATGCAACACGCGAGTCAGCGCCGGACTTTGCAGATTCATATACCAATTTAAAACAGTTATGCATTAGCTAACTGAGCTCAGGGGAATATAGTCACATATGCTTATTTTAGTTGTTTGAAAGATGTACAGGCTTATTATGTGTCAAATAATTGAATCAAGCATATTGCAATAATTATGTTTAATGCAAAGCAAATAGTTTTAAACATTTCCTTTATTTCGTTGTTCTTGAGCACTTTATATATACATACATATATGTATTTTTTAAGCATTTGATTTATGTTGAACATCACATTTTGAGCTTTCGCTATTCCTGTCATAAACTAACAAAATGAATAGAATGATAACCAAACACAAATCGATAAGGTTAGCATTGGTTAAAGAGATTCAGATTAAAAGTTATCATAATTAATATCAGTTATAATATAATGCTAATTTTAAGATTTGTCGACTGCATGTCCTTTTCGTTATAAGTTTTTTTATTTCAATGCTCGGAAATCCGGTATAATTATACCCTGAACAGGGTATATTAAGTTTGTTACGAAGTTTGTAATACCCAGAAGGAAGCGTCGGAACCCTATAAAGTATATATACAAATGATCAGTATGTTGAGCTGAGTCGATTTAGCCATGTTCGTCTGTCTGTCTGTCTGTATATATACGAACCAGTTCCTCAGTTTTCAAGATATCGGTTTGAAATTCTGCAGACGTCATTTTCTCTTCAAGAAACTGCTCATTTGTCGGAACTGCCGATATCGGACCAGTATAACATGTAGCTGCCATACAAACCGAACGATCGGAATCAAGTTCTTGTATGGGAAACTTCCTCATTTGACGATATATCTTGACGAAATTTGGTATGAGTTGTTTTTCATAGAAATAATGTAATATCGGAAGAAATTCGTCAGACCGGCTCACTATAGCATATAGCTGCTATACAAACTAAACGATCGGAATCAAGGATGCATTTATTTAACATGGATTACTGCTTAAGGTAATAACATAACCCCCGAAAAATTTGTTAAGATCGGATTACTATAGCATATAGCTTTCATACGAACTGGACACATATTTACTCAAAGAAATGCAGCTCTGAAGGGTATATTAGCTTCTGTGCAACCGAAGTTAACGTCTTTTTCTTGTTTTATTTGAATTTCGTTTCCCAAGTAACATAGCGCACAGAAGTTGAAATTTGTGAAGGAATAAATTTCGCTCTCCAGAAATAGTCCTTAATTGTTGTAGGGATCAGCAATACATTTTTCGGCTATACAAATTTTCGTGATCTCCTTTATCAAAATATTTTTTTAAATATTCTCACCTTACTCAATTTGAAGTCCTTTGAAGGAATTGTCGAAAATATGCTTCAATATTGCACTTTTATACTTTTTAATAAATTTATCAATACAATTTTAAAATTCACTGCTTAAAAATAGTCTTTTTAATATATTAAAACAAAAATTGCACTTTATTGTTGTTATTGGTATTGATATTTGTACACAATTACATTTGTATGTGCGTAAATCTCCGAATACTCGAATTGAAAGCCTTCTTGTAAACTGTCACATTAGCGTTTCGAAAGAATACAAATCGGAAGAGTTTTGCGTAAAACGTTTTGGACGGCTATCGTAATGCATCCGATCACGTTGCACGTCAATTGACAAGTGTTTTTAGATAATACAAATGGCGGGCATTGTTGCACACACCTTTCCTTGTACACAAGCACTCGCACACTCGCACACACGCGCACATGTACGTATTACGAATACGATTTTCCGAAAGGTATTCAATCACAGTACGCAACACTCAATCGTTTTATTTATAATATTTTAAATTCGCGACCATGCGCTCCAATAATGCGTAGCCCGCCAGTAAAAGGCACGAAATGAGCAACAAACTGGCAAAAAGTGAGAAATGCGCGCGACCGACTGCTCGAAAAAAACAACAGACGAATAGAACGTTATCAAACAAACAACGTTAGTGGAATAATGCACAGCAGAAAAACGCTGAACCATAACCACCCAACAACCTCAAACCACAACACAACAAAAACAAAACCCACAATTGTTGGTAAAAGGAGCGCAAATCTCCATTGAACATCTGTAGTGGTGTGTGTTGAGTGCTTATGTGGGCGGCTCAGGGTGCGCTTGGTGGCGAATGTGCTGTGTGCTGTGTGCTGTGTAGAGTTGGCGACATTGCGTCCGTGCAAGTGTTCGATGTGTAAAATCTACAGGAAATCGTGAACCAGCTTCGATTTGTTTGCGATCGTTTGTATAGAATAATCAAAACTCGCACACGCTCCCACGTGCAGTTGGAAATGCATTTTATATTTTTATCATTGCCACAAGTGTTGTTGTTATATATAGTTATTTTGATGGTGAAAACGCGTTCTGGCATAGTTGACGGCTGCCACAATTTGTCCTTTTACATTTGTGTCCTCCTTTCATTTAGATTTAACAATGTTCTATGTCTTTATCACCTTCGTCGAGTGTAAATATTTGAATAATGTCAATAGTCCAGTTTCTTTGTCGTGATATAGTAATGTGTTATTCCATTTAGAAATTACTATCTTTTTGTAAACAATCTTCAATAAGCCACAGGTAAATATGTATGTACAATTTGATGATGTTATATAAATAAAAACGGTTATATGTCCAGGCAAGTTCTTGTGCATTAGTAAAACTCTACTGTGCTACTATCTAATTCAATACACTGCCATGTTTCGTAGAATTCATTTTTAAAAGAAGCTATAACCCAAATGAATTGATATTTAAGTGAAACTTAAGGGGTTGAGTTAGGCTAGCATTTTCAGATGTCAGTATAAGCAATCTCTAGTTACTATTTGAGACTTTTTAAAGTGAAGTCTCAATTTGTGAGCAATTACTTTAGTCTAAAATTTGTCGACTGATAGAGAGCAGGTCCCAAAACTGATCATAATTATTCTTTTCCATTTTGAACATTGACACTTCACTTACAGAGATCATCATAGATATCAATCGATTGTAAGTTTTTATAATTTGTAAGCAACTCAATAACGTAAAAGTTATAAAAAATTAAAAAAAATAATAAAAAATTCATAACTATTCTGACTGAAAGTCAACATATTTATTTATTATTTAACATGTTTAATTTCATTCCGATTTGTAAACGTCTCTAAATATCTTCTGTACCAGCTAATAAGATCTGTTCGTTTTTAATTGAAGAGTTTTGTGACTGACACGTACTGAAATGAAAATCTTCTCAAGTTACGAAAATTGTCACTAATTTGAAATGCCAAATTTAGAGACATGAAGCTCAGTACTGAATTGGTCTACATATAAAATTACTAAAAGAGCGATAACTCACTGAATAAAGAGCCACAAGCTGTAAATTACACAACAGGCTGGCAAGGAAGAGCCAGGGATCTGGCGTAAAAATCGGAAAATGGGCGTGACACTGCTCACTTTTACGTGAACTCCTAATCTAGGGATCTGCTCTATCAATTAAACAACCTTGCACAAATATTGTCCTCGAGGTATTTATTCTTACGCCCAAAAATTCGAAATCGAAATCGAGTTTACAACTTATGCCAAGAATGGGTAGATCTGGTCAACAGTTCTTATAAATGTTTATAACATAAATATTTTCAATTACCGGTACACTTTACAGCATATATGGGTCGAAAAGCAGAATCGTTTTGCCCAAATTTGAGTGCTTATTTGGAATCCAAGACCAAAACTGTGTACACAACACTTCTTCAGTAAAACATTTATTCAGAGCAATATGGATCAACAATAAGTGCCTCAAACTATTATGACGGTTAAATATCCGTTTGGCGCCAAAAACGAAAGTAAAACAGCGCATGTGCCACAGAAGTCTCCAAGATTACCGGAGAGTTGCTTACCTTTCATCCCCATGCACCAATCGCCCAAATATATCTGTATGTATGAAAATAAAGGAAAAAAAATGAAAATAAATCCCCACACGGAGCAAACGAAGGAGCGCAATAAAATAAAAGGAAATAAGCACACAATTGAAAATGGCAACCACCACCCTTACACACTCCCCTTGCATAAGCATACACAAGTATGTGAGTGTTTTGTTATGCAGCTGCGCTGGTGTTTGCCTGTGCTTGTCTGTGGTTAGTGGAGTTCTGTGAATGTTTGTACGTTATTTTACTTTGCAGTCTATGGGAATCCACTCCATAAAAAAGCGTTTTGACGCCACCTGCTCATACCGTCGGCTGGAGCGCGAAGCGCGCATGCACACTTTTAAAATTATTTGGCCAATGGCGTAGAGAAAGCCTGCTCCACTGAGCGTTGGCAACACTTGCCACCTCACACTGCCGTCCAACGTTGCTACGCGTAAATCACACCACTGCATTCAAATTTATGTGCACGGTTATTTTTAGTTTTGTTTTTCTTTCCACACTCACCTCTCCTATAAGCAGAAGCAACATTTAACCAGTGAACTGGTGTTTTCGGGGATTGCTTCATACCGCTGGCAGCTGTGGCTTCTCGGGAAGTGTTCGATGGCATCTTTCCCCTATTATTGCATACCGCACGTTAGCCAGTTTTGTGGACATTACAACTTTCGGTTTTATTTTCGTATCACAATGGTAATTGTCAAATAATGACAAAAAGGAGGAAGCAGGTTCGAAAAGCAACAGGTTGACCGAAACACTGTAAAAAATACTGTTGGTTGTTAGTAACACTATTTTTCAGATATTACTGTTATGGTTGAAATATATTTTGTATCTTAACACTCACCAGAAAAATATCAAATTTCAAAAAATGCTTGCGCAAATTGTTAAATCGTTCAATTAATTCTTCCGTAACCTATGTACGTATGTATTTATATCTATGTAAATGCAGTGTTCGATAACTTCTAATAAAAATTATGAAGGAAGGCCACTTGATTTTAATTGTTAGAAATATTAGATACCACTCATAATGGCGTTAATAACTGATATCTGGTCCGGAATTCTTATTTTTTACGAAGGCGATGGAATTTTGCATTGTTAAAATGTGTTATTAAAGAGATATAGATCAGAAATGACTAATTAGTACAAATTTTAAACGTTTTCCACGACTGTATTCCGTACATACATATTTATATCTGTCTATATATGGATAATTCCAAATGGTTATAGTACGAATCTAAAGATGTAATGCTTAAACTGGATGTAACTTGCTTGGATTTTTCTGACACACTTAGTTAGAGGTATTGGACGAATTAAAAGAAATATTGAACCCTGAACTATTTTTATCACACCATGCATATGATGTCAACCGCCTTTCCGCTCTAACCCCAACCCAAAGAGACTATGCAAAGTATATGTATGTATATCTACGAAGACCTGTCGTATTCATGTGTATACTATATGGATGTGTGTAAGTTGATCTCTTTTTAACATTGCAGTGCTCGAGTTCGCATTGTCCTTCCTGAATTACCATTAAACTCGCCAGCATTCCCTATATTCACTTCTGCTTGCTGTGCTGGTACTAAATCATGAATTATTAACTTGTTTTTCAAACAATAAATTTTCGCATTAGCTGGAATGTCTTTCCAACGCTGGACCATTTAAATAGTCATTGTAAGCGAACGCGCTTGGTTGGTAAACAGTAGGTATATCTCGCTTTTCGCCGCAAATGATAAGGACATTTTATTGTGCTTGTTGGCTCATAATGGCGAATTTGTGCTTTTCATTCACTTTTCTACAAATTTATTACCTTCTTATTTGAAAGCATGAATTGTTAATGCCAAGCTCTTAAAAGGCAATAAAGAAGTACTATTAAATATTTAAATATATATGTATGTGCATACATAAGTAAGTCTTGCAATGATGAAACTGAAACTATATACTCTTAAGTGCGTAAAGTGAGTATATGCATTGCAATTAATTAAAAATAATCTCGCTCCACTTTCTTAAATGGTTTTAATCGCTTATCTGTTGGGTAAAGAAATTACGTCTCTCCGTTCAAAAGATAAAATACTTATAATTTAAGATCTTCGAAAAACAAAAAAAAGTTTTAATTCAGTCAATCGCTTGGTACCTATAACTCACAAATTCATTGAGGCTATTGCCAGTTTCGGCTGGCTTCTGGGTTGTCGAAAGTAAGACTCCCGAGATAGTTCACGATCAGCTTGCAAAGGATGGATAATGGTTTTTAAATTATTCCACCTCATCTTTTTTCATACTTACGTCTGAAAAGATTCTTAGTCCTATCGCATGAAAGCCGGTTGGACTCTGTCCAATAAAAACTACTAAGATTGTGACTAGATGACCTTTGAATGAATGAATGAATAAATGAACATTAGGAATGCACCGCGACCTTTGGTCTATTGTGCCCTCTCCTGACTCACATTGACTCGCTTAGCCCCAGCACTTTAATGAAGTCCAATAGACTACCTGGTGCTAGCGAGGCAATGCGATCCCTATCCGGAAACATCATTCCAAGGGCCTAAGTTCTGCGTCTACAGACTGCTATGCAGTCGATCAGGCTCCCTGTCGCAGAACCGGCAGCTAGCACAAGAGGATATGCCCTTGCTGGTCAGATGCCTTTACAGCTTGCAATGGTCGGTATACCATGCGCCTAGCAGCCTGAGCTTGTTCCTGGGAGGATTTAATACAACTTTGAACCTTCTCAAGTTGTATCTTCCCATTAGCAACTTGGCATGTCTCATACCATGAGTTTGTTGTCAATGCTCCTCTCTGCCCACTCCTTCTTCTTCGCGGAGCAGCTCCTTCATGATATGGGGACCCACCCCGTAAAGGATTCGGATCCTACCATCTTGGTGAAGACTGTGGAGCGGGCGAGCTCAACCGCCAATTTCTTACCGGCTTATGGCAAATACTTCTGCCTGGAAAATGCTCGAGAACTCTCCCATGGGTATGGAGAACTTAGTGCGTGGGCCCACAATCCCTGCGCCGATTCCATCCGACATTTTCGAGCCATCGGTGTACCACCTCAAAGTGCTGTTTCTCAACATCAGCTCGAGGTTGGAGTCGTTTCATTCATCTTTACTGCCGAGGGCAGCTTTTTCCTGAAGTCAACCATTTTGGTAGCGTTGTCCCTCTGGAGAAGGGCCTTTGGCACGAGACTACCTCCAGTGCTACCGTTGGACAGGTGCGCATTGCACGCGTCATGCAGACACAGGCTAGCCGCTGTAGCTTCAATAGCTTTGTCTTAACCGAAGTACACTATTGTGGCCACCGCCCCATATGTGATTATCGGTCTCACTATCATGGTGTACAACCACCTAACGATCCTTGGCTTACAGCCCTACGACTTTCCCGCCAACCGATTGCACACCATTAAAGCTTTTGTCGCCTTGACCAAAGTCAGGTTTACATGCTGTTTCCACCTCAGAGTGGAATCTAGCATCAAACCGAGTTATTTGACACTGTTGGTCATACCAATCTCACTACCCGCAAGTGTGAGATTTCTAAGACCGGAAAGGGACCTACGTCTCCTAAACGGAATTACGGTCGTCTGGGAGCGGTTGATACTCAGTTCAACCTCCCTACACCACCACTTCGCTAGGTTAAGACCTCTTTGGATTAAGTCACAGAGTGTCCTCATATTTGCCTTTGTCTATAACTACGTGTCGTCCGCACCTTTACTATGGGTAAGATATTAAGTGTTAGAAAGTAAGATGAGAACGAAAATCTAACTTGCGTTATCTTTCCGATGTATGTGGCACAAGGGGGCTCCTTTTTGCTAGTCATCGTTTACCAACATATCCGCTATCATTCCTCTTAATACATATAGTGCATGCCCCAATAACTGACCACAATCGATTAAATTTTCAGTTCTTATAAGGAACATTGAAATGATAAACTTGTACTAGATACATACTCCCCAAGTGATAAAGAGCATATACGATTTATTATATGAGTACCATAATGTACCATAATCTCTCAGATCAATGCCGTCTTTTCTCTCACTTATTAATTAAACGGACGTTTCGAATATGAATTTAAGGCCTAATTTTAAAACCAAGACTGAACATAACTATAGCACTAAAGTGTTGAAATAGCAAATAAATTTGATGTAAGTATATACATACACATGGTACATTATACATACATTTCGATTAATATTTTCAACAACTGTTGGATTTGTTGGTGATGAGTTGATTAGTGTTGTAGTCTGGTCAGTTAGATAAACAATAACGAATGAATATGGTAGAGAAAACAAAAGTCAATTGACACAGTTGATTAAAACGACAATAGGCAATTGTGCACCATGCTGAGGAAAAACAATGTGTTCAAACAATAGAAATGAATAAACGCTTTCATGCTGAGGATGTTCATGTAGACGTACACAGGCTGGTCCCCGACAGTTGCTGGGAATTCTGCAATGTTGCAAAGCAGAGTTGATAACATCAGACCTTAGAAGGGGCTTTTATGGGGCTGCATCCACAGTGAATTTTAGAAAATGGAAAAAATCCTCAGAGCCTTCTTCAATTCATCTTTTATATCCTCAATTGAGTCAAAATGGCGTCTTCGGGGTGGTAGTGGGATGTTGCTGAATAACTGGAAGTTACACGAAGTTAAATCAGGTGAATGCTGGGTTGCGGTACGATATTAGTTGAAAACGTCGCGAAATGAATACGAATAACCAATGCAGTAGGAGATGGTGCATTACCGCACTTCTTTGTTCAATAAATTCAGATATAATAAAAATCGAAGAATCCACTTTTATCGCCTCACAAATCGACGCGTATCTCCAATACCAATAAATATTTTGACGTGAAATTTAGCATAGATGTCACTAAAAAATTACCGATTCGAAAAGCACGCGAATGATAAATTAAAAATTCACCTTTCAATTTGATCATGATCAATTGCTTCTGCATTAGTCTATAAATAATAAATAAGTAACACTTAAATAACAAATGATTAAGTTTTCTCAGATACATTCACATACGGATGCTTTTAATTTGAAGGAAATGCTAGCATGAAATATCCGGTCAAAATTATTACTTGATTTTTATATTCTCGAAATATGTTGCTACATATGTAGTTTTGGTCACTTAACGGTGGTTCGTATCACCTACACCTAATCCAGATAGTTTAGTTATAGATTTGTCACACTTACAGTAGTTTTTAACAAAACCGTTAATATGGGAAATGGGTGGGCTTAAAATCCGAGGGGACATAGGGAGGTAATTTTACATATAAGTTATCGGGCTTTTTGCTAGAGCTCCGAAAAAAAAGTGGTTTTATTTTAATTGGGTCCGTACGACCTTCTTTATTAAATGTTTAATTGCAACTGATTTTACATTTTATACTTAAGCTAAAAAGTAACCTTAATCTACCTGTCCCGTAACTTGCAATTCTGTGGAATTGCATAGTCTATATTAATTATCTCATCTTTTATTATATTTAATTTATATTTATTTTCAACAGCAATATTATGTTGTACAACTTCATTTGTTTGTATTATTATTTTCAATTATATTATTAATATGATTTTCTAATATTATTAAGTCGTCGTGGTCAGGATTTCCCGCAATCCATTTCCAGACTGTTCCTAATTCGTTTACTGATTTCCTAAATCTCTTTGKYTTTAGTCTATTTAAGTATGTCTGTGTCAGTTTTAGTTCAATAATGAGGATAGGAAGGAGTGGGTTTTCTTCTTTAACTTTAGTTCTAATTGAATTACTTAAATTGTTTAGTGCGTTCTGGTATTCGTCTATGTCCACTTTGTGTATCAGTCGGAATCTTCCTGTTTGAATTTTTACTGGTCCTGTACTAAATGTGGCTAATTGTGAGTTTGTATAGTCTATTATCCTAAAGTCAGCGCACACTACAATTTCTTTTCTATATCTTGCTGTTAGTTTCGAGCCTGTTCGTTTATTTATTTTAACATATATCACTTCTCCTGGGGCATAGGTTTTTATTGGATTTCTAGTTTTATTGTGAATTTCTAAGTCTTTCATCTGTTGTTTTYTTAGTGTCTCGATATTTTCTCGTCTTGAGTTTTCATATTGCTGTGGGTCTATTGAAAMGCGTCTTCCAACAAAAGTTTCTATTGGTCTTTTTCTGGTTGTAGAATGTATTGAGTAATTATATTCGTAGGTGCAACGATCTAAAAGTTCTTGAAATGAGTGGTGGGTGCGTTCGGTTTGAAGACAACGCATAATTTCAGAAAGTGTGGAGTGAAATCTTTCGACTTGTCCATTGACTTTGCTAGCGTAKGGGGGTGTTTTGAAAATGTTAATACCAAGTTGGTCTTCGACCATAAATTGTATTGAAGCTGAGTTTAAAGATTTTTCATTATCTATAACTATGGTTTTCGGTACACCGAAGGAAAAAAGTAATTGTCGCAAGGGTTCTCTGATATCCTCTATTGCTTTTAATTCTATTAATCTAACGTGGGCGTATTTCGAAAATTTGTCTACTGCGGTAAGCACAAGATTTTTCTCTGTACTGTATATATCAATATGAACTATTTCCCCAGGATATTGTGGAATAGGGGTTTCAAGTAAATGTGGTTTATTAGGATGACGATCGTATTTGTTTTCTTTACATATTTTGCATCGTTTAATTATTGCTTCTATTTTTGCTTTCATTTTTTGGAAAATAATATTTTTGTATAAGTTGTTTTAAATTTTCGTCTCAGTTTCTATGTGCGCGTTTATGTTCTTTTAATATTGTTTCGTTTTGAATATCTTCGTTCGTAATGTCATCAACTTTCATCTGAGTATATCGAATTTTATAATTGGAAAAATGGATTGGGTATATTTGTTGAATTATTCGCATTATTTCTTCGGAAGTAAATATGCCATTTATCAYCGAAGGGTTTAAGTAACGTTTAAAAAGTGAAATTAGGTTTTCTGAGGAACATGTTTGTTTAATTATTACATGTCTATGGTATGTAGGAAACAGTATTTTAAATAGGTAACTATCTTCGTCTCCTAAAGAGATCCAAAGTTGGTTTTTGAAAACATTTATGGGTACTTCTACGGCTGGAATTAGATGGTCTATCCGCCGGATGGCTTATTCATGGTGTCGTTTTCACCCCCTCTGAATCGTCGAAGCCCATCTTCCGCAGTTATTTAACTCCTTTTTTACACGTCTTTAACTGTTGAATACAATATCCAAACTAATCATCTATAGCGTCGTTTTGTAGGTTATGCCAAGACCTTTCAAAGATGTATAGTATTGCCAAATACGAGCTCTGTAGCGCCTTATACATAGCCGCGAAATTCAAAAGACAAAAAGGCGGAAGGGAGATAGTTGACAACCTATAATATTGAGTTGATGTGTAAAACGTCAAATAGAAGATCTTAATTGGTTATTTTAGGGATATGAGGTTAAGACCAAGGCCTACGCAACTCAAATAATCTTCAGCGGTTTGTTAGTCAATGGTCAGTATTACTAGTAGTATAATATAAAAGTTTGAAAACCTTAGCATTACGTCATATTATTAAGAGAAATAGATGCCCTTTGAGTTTCATTAAGGTATCCCACAACAATAACTCTATAATGATTAAAGTACTTAAACCTGATCTTTGAAAATCCTGATATTAGTTATATGGGGGCTCAAGGGCAAGTTTTTACCCGATTTTATCCATTTTAGTTACGGGGATCCTTCATAAGGAGGATATTATGCTCATTCAATTTTATTAAAAGAATTCACATATTGGAGGATGGAGTCATGTAAAGAGTCACGGAAGTGGGAAAAGTTCACTGATCGCCACTCACTTTTGGGTGGCCGGAAACTATTATTTTACATACGGCTCAAGTAGCTCACGGCTTCCGGTCCTAGACCAAGTAGCCTTTGGGTAGCCAAAGAACATCCGTTTGAAGGCAAGCTGTAGTGAAAAGGCGTACAGCTGCAACCGAAACCATTGGTTTTCGGAAAATGCAAAAGAACAGCTGGTAAGACACCAGTAAAGATGAAGATGATTTAGTGCTTCGTTGTAAACAAAGTGCAGATTCCTCTCTATTTCTCTAAATCGGTTAAAGATCTAGCTTTTGTTACCGCGTTGACTCCGATATGTTCGTGTATCGGCATCGACAGAGAAATGGTGACGATTATTTTGACTCGCGTATAAGTTACTAAAATCGGCAGCCTAAAATACTTCATCGTGCTGTTTGAAAGAACACCAGCATCGGACACATACACCTCTACATCATTCGACAAGTAAGGTAACAATACTGAGTTCTGGCGGAATTATGGCAAGTCATACTCTAAATCATCAACACTGTCATCTTCAATGGAATTGATGGCCTCTTCTAAGCCCAGAAAATTGTTACTGGCGCTAAATTTTCCAGAATTGTCATAGTAATTATTCGGATATAACCACTACTTGCATTTTTATTAATATATATGTTCCAGCAAAATATGTATGTAAATCATTTATTGTTTATTGGTCCGCAAATAAAAAAGTAAACTTCGCTTTTCGCTTTACTTCAAAAGCAACATAAGTCATTTTTCAACAACCAAGAACTTTTAGTTCATACTTCGTGTTTTTTGAATCGGTAATTTTTTTTTGCCTGTAAGTTGGTAGTACTGTTAGTGACATCTATGCTAAATTTCACGTAAAAATATTCATTAGTATTTGAGATACGCGTCGTTTTAAGAGGCTCTAAAAGTGGATTCTTCGATTTTTACTATTATTTACTTATTCGTGATCATTTCGCCACATTTTCAACTAATATCGTGCTGCTTGGCTATTCAGCAAATTCACATTACCACTCCGAATACACCGTTTTCACTGATGATATAAAAGCTGAATCGAAGCAGGCTCGGTTGGCATAAGTGTATTGCAGCAGGAGGGGATTACTTTGAAGGAGATGAAATGGACAAAATTCCGATTTCGATTTGATCACAGTACTACATACGAGCCGCCACCAGAGACAGAAGCATTTCATCTGAGGGAATACCTATAAATGGTAGTGATTAATTTGTATAAAGGAATGCTTATTGAAACATTAAGGGTAAGGTATTTTCCTAATATAATATATTTACTTACTAATATCATATATTTACATACTAATTTCAAAAAGTTTGAATAAATGCACTTAATTAAGAAAATAGCAAAAATAATTAAAAATAAAATAATAAATAATTAAATAAATTTCATGAGTTTCAGGATTCGCACATAAATGCTCGTATTCGCATTGAGCTTAACTCCTTCACGCTTACGATCAGAACCATCTCCAAAGTTTGGAACCCGCCGCTGTACAGCTATACATATATATGTAAGTAAAAGCTGCAGCGGCAGTGGCAATTACTATGAAACATTCCTCAGCATAGGTTTCCTATCGCGCAAATCTAAACAAAGGCGGATTCCATGCTAAGCGTTGAGGATTCAATTTTGACGGCGCATTGGGCGTAAAATTGTAATTTTTCCGAAAATTTTCTTGTTGCGCGATGTTTAACGCTTATACGAATTGATTAAAGCATTATTAATAATTCAATTCGTTTCGCGTTTAATATCTTTTGTACTAATTCTAGGATTTAAGTGAGAATTTGAGACTTTTTTGATTTTTAGAGATGACCCGACGGCGTCAACGCTAAGCGGTAAAAACACGCACCGTTCAACGCTTTTATTGTTATCCATTGATCATTGAGAATTGTTCACCCAACGCACATACATATGTACATACATACAGAAATGTGTAATATAATTTATCTATTAAATGCTTATTTTCCTCTGCGGTTTTGTTCCATAATCCTCCTTTTTAATTCAGTACATTATTTGTAAATATAAATAACGAACTTTTTGTAATATCATAGAAACCGTTAGCCAAAATCTAAATTTATATAATTTATAGGCTTTTCCCCGTTTCGCTTATATACTTTTTCCAAATTATATTTTTCGGTGTTTTCTCATATGAAAACTACAAATTAGTATCTAAAATTTTTTGATTTAACATTTGGCCTTCATATAAGTAACTGTTCTCATAAAATTAGTTAACAGCGTCATCTAACCATCCGGATTGAGCCCACTCCGAAAATATTGTGGACATTGCAAATGTTTGCGCCACCTACCAGTGAATAGTGCAGTTATGAAATTCAAAGGGTTCGCGTTCAGGACATCCTTTGGAATTAGATAATTTGCGTTTGCGGTCTCAACGATTTTGAAAATGACACGTATTTTCGGAATATTTTGTCATCTAATTTTCTTGTAAATAGATATTAAGATTTATTTAACAAAAATTTAAAAAATTAAAAAAAAAATCTATGTAGTAAGTGAATCATATTACCGTATGATCTTATTTCCATCACGCTTAGTCACTCTTTCATTGTGATCCTCTGCTTAGTTTTGTCAGTGGTATGGTAATTTTGACATTCTTCCTTTTTGCTACAAAATATTCTTAATAAATATAATATAATTTAATAATAATATGATTTTTTTTTAATATAATATAATAGGAATTGTTGACGCAAACGTAAATAGGGAGAAAATTCGTTGTGCCTATTTGTAGACTTTTTACACATTTCTCTCTTTGCGTGGTGTATTTTGCTTTTAGGAGTTTATTTTTCGATGTTCCCTATATGAAAACTAAAATTAGCACTTAAAAGAACAACATTTGCATCCTCTCTATTCGTTAACATATTTCGAATATAGATGTCGCTAAATGTCGTACTTTTTGGATTAACTTATATCAAAACCACTTGGTGCTACAAATTTTTCAGTCAGAAAAAATGTTCTAAACATTTCTTCTTTCAAAAAACCAACCCAAATAGAAAATCGAAAATAATGGCAAGAAAGACATTTGTGCTTATATAATTGACATTTTGATTTTCGAAAAATATTAAAGTATATACTCCGAACGGATGATGATCTCGTTTACATTTTCGAATGTTATCTTCAGAAGGACTGTTAGCAATGTCGTCACAAATCTAATACAACCAACGTGCACAAAAGTGACTCTTTTTCATCTTCATCATTCTTGCCCGGTACCCAGATAGCGGACATACGGCTGTGCATTGAACTTTTTAGATATTTAGCTTTACATTTCGTTAATTTCAAAAGATTCTCCTATGTGATTCTATTTCTTTCTCACAAAAAGCTGTTATTTACACGAGTTTTGGAAAATATTGTAAAACTGGAGAGCTCCATAGAAAGAAAACTTCAGGACGAACAAGAAGCACTAGCTTAAGAGACGACGTTGCTAACTTAAGAACAAGTTTACAAGACCGATTTTAAAACGTAGCCGAAATTAAAACAGAGCTGCTGAAATCATTTAGTAATGATATTCTAACTCCAACCGCGCAAAATGAGCCTAACGGAATGGGAATGCTAAGAAGAAAATCAGTAAAAACGCTACTCGTGACCAGAAAAAGTAAAGAAAAGCAATAGAGTCAGGTTACAAATACAAGTAAATCAACCTGGACGCAAACCAGATGGTTTTTTGACGAGTCGAAGTTTAACCTTATTCGCAGAAAATTGCACTCTTAATGCTGTGAAACATTCCCTCTATATAATGGTAACAAGAAATACAATACAAATCGGACTTAATTTCAATAATAGAGAGGTCAATGAGCGTTGAAAAATATATAAATATTATAATGGAAGGCGGCCAAGCCCTATGTTTTAGGATGATTCTGCACCTTGCTATGATTCCCGCTCGGCAACTTAGATATTGAAGATTTTTCACTCTTTCATTTTGTTTAAGTTAATTTGTTAATTTTGACATATGAGATTAGGAGTTTTAAGGAACGTCTGGGTATTACTTCATTGCATCGGTCATCAAAAAGCGGATCTCAATCCAAAGAGAACGAATATTAAATAATGTGTGAATTTATTTGTTTAAATGAGGCAATGCTATAAAAAATGATTATATAAAATGTTTTGTTTTATTAAAATATTAATGTCGTCACCATAACTTTGAAAAAATTCCACTATTTTTGAAGGGAATGAATTCAACAGTGTAGGGGGATTCTCTTGACACAAAATGCAAAAATCCTATAACGAAATATGCAAGGCCAAGAGAGCACCCATTGCAGAATCTAGCGGTATATGAACGGCTGATTCGGTCAATTTATGGAGTACGACTCAATTTTATACAGCTGTAACTATTTTTCAACTTCCCCGAATTTATTAGTTAAATGAAGCTAAAAATCTCACCTTTACAACGTTACATGGTATGACACAATGTGATCGCTAGCACTGGAGATAAACGACTGCAACGACAAAATACGAAAATGATTTTTTGACTATGCGATATTGGGAATTCCATTTATTTTGACTTTTTATCTGGTTTTAAAGCGTTTATGTTGCATTTTAGCTCCGAACATTACTGAAATAAGTCCAAACCTTGGTTACTAATCAGCCCTATTCTGCATTTCTACTCGAATCGAAATTTTCTCCGATTGGCAACTTTGGTATTCTGCGTTTCGATTCAACTTCGAAAATTCCAATTCTATGAATTCTGCATTGCGATCGTAATTACGTTTTTGTACGTTGAAGTTTTGTTGGCGGAAAGCCGTTATACATTAATTTTCGTGCACTTGAATAAGATAATTTMCTCAAATAYGTAAGTRAAACTKTATGATTATAGTTGTAAARGGTATAATGGTGGTGTCCYTGGTTTTTTGTACTTTAATGATGTTTTTTGATATATTTGTAGGTCAAAAACAACAACACCAGAGCAATATGAAAAATTGGCTGATATAATGGCAACCAAACGAGATATTGCGCAGGGCTTCCAACAGCGACCGAAGGAAGAAGTGAAGGAGTTTTGGGAGAAAATTGCAAATGCCCTAAATGCACTTGGTCCACGATCAAAAGACTCCAGTACATGGAGAAACGTATTGTACTACTGAAAATACATTTTTTAAATACTTCAAACGTGTTGTTACAGGTGTGGATTGACTGGAAGTGCTATATAAAACGCAAGCTGTCTGCAAATAAAAAGGAGATTATGAGCACAGGTGGAGGTCAATGTCGCTTGCAACGTATAAGCCCACTTGAGGAGRAGGTTATAGCTTTGACGGGGTTGGAAACTTGTACAAGTGGAATAAGATGTGCGCGGGATTATGGCGATAGTGCGCAGGTACAAGACGTTGCCCAAACCTCCGAAATGRACATTTCCGCATGTTCGGAGGATCGAAATGAAATTCCTTCATGCAGCAGATTTAGCAGCCAGCGCAGAGAAAGAACTGATAAGGAGAGCGCTTCTTCCTTACTCAACGAACAAATTGCTCTCCAGAAACAGTTTTACGAGGACACCAAAAACCATAATGAAGCTGCAGTTAGTAAAATGGAAGAAATGGTGACATATTTACRTCGCATGAATCGTTCTTTAGAATGTATGGCGGACACCGCATTGAAGCAACTACAAGAACWGAAACGACACAATAAAATTAAGGAAGAATTGGTAAGGGAAAAAGTGGAAATAAAGATGCMGATGCTAAAGCTAGATCCAAATTATAAATCAGATTCGAAGTAATTTAGTAAATAACCTAAATTTTGTACCTAAACTTTTTTTTTTAGTTTTTTGTTTCAATTATCTTTAAGAAAGAAGCTGTGAACTGAACTGCTGTGAATGAACTGAATTCAATTTATTACCTTTAAGTAACAAGTTGTGAAATGCACTGAAAGCAAATTATTTTTTTTAATATACGAATAGTATATATACATACATTTTAGAATTTAATAAAGATGTTTTTATTATTGTACTCGTTTCTCAAATTTATTAAAAAGTAGAGAGTGTATTGTCTCGAATACGATTTGCTATGGAAGTATAATCGGGGTCACTGCTTTGCTCTTCCTCCTCCTCCTGACGGCTTTCAAAATTAAATTCACTTGCGTTCAAATCTTCCACTTTGTAGTAAATGCAAATGTTGTGGAGGGCACAGGCAACGTTTATTATTTGACTAACTTTGTGTGGTGAGTAATGTAGTGCTCGTGCACCCAACAAGCATCGGAAACGGTTCTTCAATACCCCAATAGTCCGCTCTACTATATTCCTTGTTGTGGTGTGCCGCATGTTGTAATTACTTTGCCGGCTGCCTTGAGTTACAGATCGATACGGAGTCATTAGCCAAGGCTGCAATGGATATCCCGCATCACCTGTTAATAAAGCGAATAACTATTCAAAACTTATTTTAACAAACGTATATATGTAAATAAATACCTAACAGCCACGCGTTTCTTTCACCTTCCCGATATCGCCGTTCCATATGCGATCTAAGCTTGCTTAAGCCCCATACATGCGAGTCGTGATTGCACCCAGGATACCTGGCATCAATGCTTTTTATACTCATTCTGTTATCGCACACCTGAAAAGTGAAATTAAATTGATAAAACTAATGAATTTTGAATTATGGCACTGAGGCGATGAACATTGTTCTCACCACCATAGCATTGATGCTATAAAATCCTTTTCTATTGTAATATAGAAACCCCTCTTCAGATGGCTTCACTATTTTTATGTGCGTACCATCAACACACATAATTACTCCTGGGAAACTAGCCTTCGCATAAAACTCTTGCTTCGCTTGCATTTTTTCCTCTTCACTCTGGTCAAATTTGATCTACTCACGGCAAAGCTTTCGTTGCATGACTTCGAGAAAATGAGACAGTGACTTTGACACAGTTGACTGACCCATTCCGACGTTATAATCAGTACCAACTCCATGTTGGTAACTGCCTTCCGCAAAATATCTCAAAGCAGCCACTACGCGATTAAGCGGAGATAACGACGTCAAAGTACTTTGTTGAGTTTCTTCTGCGAAAGTATCTAGGACATATGTACTTGAAAGCGTCCTTATTAAGCCTAAAGTTTTTTTTGAATCTAAATAAGTAAATCAATGAATTAAGATATATCTCTTTCAAGCTCAATTTCTTATAATTCGTCACTCATCTGAAATGGATCACACATATCTCGCAATCTTCTCCTTCAACTTTTGCGTCAGCATTCTCGTATGCGTTGCCGTCCTCCTCAAGAAATATCGCCGCAGCTATCGATTCCATTACGCAATTATATGTATATTTAATTTATTTTATTTAAGCACCAATAGCTTTTTCCACAAATTTGTATCTGTTTGCTTTATTTTGTTTCAATTTCACACATTCCAAGGCAAACAGCTGACTTCGAAAGAGCTACAGCTCTTYCTCTTCTTCTTTCAATCCAATCGTAACTCAGAATACCTACTTTCGATTCAGACGGAGCGTACAGCGGGAACGTAATCGAAATGCAGAATAGGGCTGAATATAAATTAGTAAGTATCAAATTTGATTGTAAAGAGGGATTCATTTCCTGGTTCCCTACTTAAAAAAACAACACAGAAACTTTAAATATAATGGATAATTTTTGTTATCATTCAATATCATATCAATTTTTAATTAACTCGTTCGAGCATTTCGAATGGTAACTTGCCAAAGACACACTCTAAGATCTGAAGTCTAACGGTATGATATCACACGACCTTGGTGGCCAATCCACCTACCCAAACGGGAAATTATCTGCGCCCCGAAGTATTATCTCAATGAATCCATTGTCTGATGCGATGTGTAGGTGTGGCCGCGTGTTGTTGAAACCAATGTCGCCGAGATCACTAGCTCCAATTTCAGGCATCAAATAGTCGTTATTCTGGCGCTATATCGGTCGCCATTGACAGTTATGTTCTCACCGGCATCATTTTTGAAGTAATATGTATGATCCCAATGGTTCACAAACCATCTTTAGATGAAAGGACTGCTCTTAAATATCTTCAGGTTGCTCTTCGTTCCAAATCCACGATTTTGCTTTTTTACATAACCCAGAAGCCAGAAATGGGCCTTATCTCTGAACAAAATTTAGATCGAAAACGTCGGATCTTCTTGGAACTTTTCAAAGAAGGTCAAATGACTTTAGTTTTTGCACAAGCTGTATTCTGTACGCTTTCAATTTAAGAATAAAATGCGCCAGCATACGTCAGCTCGAGTTGCTGGGAACGGCGGTGAATCGACTCTCTACGGTCTTCGTGCGCACTCTCAGCTACGACTGCCATACTTTCTTCACTGCATGCTGTCGGTCCAATATTATCGAATAATGAATGCTGGGTCTCAAGATGGGTGATGGTGATGGGAATAGTATGCTCAGTAGCCCGATTATGTTGGCCATAAGTTAAACGTGAATTTTCGTAATAAAGTTGAACGATTTGTGAACGTTGTTCAGGCATAAGTCTTTCCCTAATGAAATGCCAAACAATATTGAACTAAAATAACATGTGAAAAAAGGCTATTCAAATCCCCTACTTGGATTACCCGTTAAAGCAATCAGTTTCTTCAAATAATGCATATTATATTCTTATGCAATATTTTATTGCCCTGAACAGGATATGTTAAGTTTGCCACGATGTTTGTAACAACCAAAAGGAAACGTCAGATACCCTATAAAATAAATATACACCCAACTCTTTTTTTTACGCGTGTTTGAAGTTACTCGGTTGAAAAAAAAATGTTTTTTTGTAAAAAATTTTTAATCTTGTACGGTTTCTAAACCACTGTCTTGTAATTATGTTTGCTGAAATGAACATACATAGTAGTAACTGCGAAATCTCCTTATTCGATTTGTTCGCTGAGATTTACATTGCTGAAGGGGTATTCTACTCTAGAATTTTGAAAAATTCGATTTTTTTTCATATATTTAAAGTTTAGACCCTTAAGAACATATCCTCCAAAGGATTTTTAAAAACTAAAATTATTTTAAGAGCTACAGTTACTTTAGTGACGCAGTTCCTAGGACGGTAGGTAGGTAGACTCACTTTTTTAAACGCGTTTTTCTCGAAACTACTTTTAACCACACGGTACCGGTATCTCAAGTTCTATACAACCGATTTACTAGAAGTTTTGTGTGAACCTTCTCCTTAATCCTTTGTTTTTAATATTTCTAAAAAAAATTCAGGAATTTCCAAAAAAAGCGTAAAAAATTATTTTTATTTTCAGGCAGTCGCCATTTTTCAAAAAAAAAATTTTTTTCGTGTTCCCTGAAATAGGGACTATAGCAGCATCTTTACTGATTAAGAATTTCTTTTGATTTTTTTTCCAGACCACCAGGAGAGTGAAGATCAATGTCACCGGGATGCGCCATTTTTTTTTACACCTGTCTCTCCCCCCCTCTAATTATTTTAATTTTTAATATTTTTTTTTGTAAAGATATCAATAAAAACACCATAAGAAATGGATAGTAAAAATATTTTTGGTTTATTTTTTAAATAAAATTCAAAAAACTGCCCAAAATTTGATTTCCAGAGTAGAATACCCCCTGAAATGGATATCTCCAGCGGTGATACCGACTTTAGTCCAGTTCCTCGCAACCAATTGCGCTTGTTATCAAGTGGCGACGAAGAATTATGTATGTAGCTATCTAAATATGTTTTCCTTATTTCTATTCTAATTTTTCTGTTCTTAATTCTGGATTAACAGATTTCTTTTGGTTTTGCTTAATCTATCAATTTTCCACCTGCATGAATTATGTATTTTAAGTTTTAATGCTCAATAAAATACAATTGGTATGTATATCTAAAATTTTGTAGTTTTCAACATTTTTACACGGTTTTTCTAAGCAAATATGGTTCTTATTTCATCTTACACGGTTTTCAGATGACATGGAACGTATCCTCCATTTTACTATAGGAAACGCCTCTTTTTTACACGGATTTCTGAACATCGGATCGGTTTTCTAAGGAACCTTTTGTATTTGTGTAGGGTATTGGAAAATATATCTCAATTTCTTAATCCATGTAAAGAAACACGTATGAGCTTTGATTCCTTCTGGAATATACTGAGCTGGCATTCTGTCGTGGCAACTCACGCAATTTTTTTAACAAATCTTTTACCAGTTTGCTTTGCATATGTTTGCGCATATATGTATATACATATATAAGAGTCATAAATCAACAATTTTGAGGGCTTTTCAATTAAACTAATTCCAGCATTCCCATCTCACCGAGCAGCGAAGGTGTCAATGCTTTCAAGCCACCAATTGCGACGAAACGAAGCACGATGATTTGAGTTAATTGCTCATTACTCATTACCTGAGGAGCGCGCCGTGGGGGCATTGGGAGTGTTGTGTCGTTTAGGCAAACTGTTTGCCACCGAGAGGATACTCAAAGCTAGAGTAGTTGAAGCGCGTCCAAATTGGCGCAAATTGCAATTAGTGCTATTTTCCAATTACTTTTACCTGCTCGATCCGCTAAGTGGCGCACGTTTCGTTTTGACTGTATCCTCAAAAGAACCAAATAGCAATTAAAATGAAAATAAAACAACTATTTTAGCCATTTAAGGGTTGATTTTCTCTTTGCGCTGCAATTACACACAATCACAATTATGATTTCTGCTTTTTTTGTCACAGCGCAAACAACTCTGGTGACAGAAGGCACAAAATATGAGCAAATGCAGAAATAAATGAGGAAACGCTTTACTTTCGCTCACTTGAGTTGGCTGGAGTGCTGTTTGAGTTGCGGTTCGCAGCGCAGCGGGTTAATAATTTTGCCAATGCCTTTGTGGCAAACGTTTCACATTGGCTTGCAATTAATTTAAGTTAATTCCATATATGTACATGTGTAGGTATGTTTATATTTACATAAATATGTACATATACATATTTATCTTATGTCACCGCCAATTTTACTCAGTGGTTCAAAATGTTGTTGCGTACTTAGGATTACATGGCTGACATAGAAAGACCTATGAATTTGCATATTTTTTATTGATAATAATATTTTAATTACAATGGCCACATCGTTATATTCAATGTGTGTCTGTGTGCGCACATTTTGTTTTAATATTAATTATGCTATGCATTTCTATTTATTAACATTTACTAATTCGTATTTGCTTTATATTTGTAGCTTATTAACTCTGCTTAATGCTATCGACTTTTTCTCGTTTCTCATTTCTCTATTATTAGTTAAACAATTTTATTCATACTCTTTTAATAATAAATGCTTAATGGTATTGATTCCTTACTTATTACTTAAAATTTATATCGTACTGTATTATTAATATGTACGTCCGTCACAAATTGTAAGTTCTACACATTTCGAAATAATCTCAACACCACATTTTTACAGCTCTGTGCATGATGTTCTATCAAAAGACTTCAACAAAACTAGGTTATTAATACTATTTATTTTCCTTTAGCCCAATGCCGTGTCAAAACTTTAAAGCAAATATTAAATTAAAAAAAAAATAAAATTTAAATAAGTGAAATGTTATTAATTTAAACTCAACTGTAAGTTTCTATGTGGCTGCTTAAACTTCATGAAATTTTTTTATTTTCACGTCTTAATGTAAATGTGTAAGGGGTTAGGCCTGTTAAGAGATCTAAAAAAGAGCCAAGCTTTGACAAATATTTCTCAGAGTAAGGAAGCAAGAAACGGATCATGAACCAGCTACTAAGTTTATGTTTTTTATATTCCACGGCAGCTGTGCTAGCCTTCGGATCCAGCTTTTTAAGAGGGCCTTTACGGCCGAAGCTGATTCTAAGGAACGTTATAAAAGAAAGGAACCCAAGGCATCAATTTTTCGTTAAGTGGTGGGTTTGAAAAAAATTATTCAATTTGTGATCGCAATAATAGAACACATTAATAAATAATGTTATTGCAGAGCCACAGTTAATTTATTCAAGTGGTTACGTGGAAAAGTCTTCGATTTGACATTATAGTTGATTTATCAAGCTAAAGAAAGTTTCGATTTTTTTAAATCCCATGCCGGTCTAACTCCTTAATCAAAAGTATCTCCCACCCATTCTTATTTGTGCGTTAAACTTACAAAATAGATGCTAGAAAAACTAAAATATTTAACAATTTTTAAAGAAGCATGCCTTATGATATCCTGACAAATGTAAGCGCATATCTGCACATTAAATATACCTTTGAACATAATACTGCAAGCAAATTCATTCGCTCAACACTTTTTTTTTAATTTTTCAGATTGACAGTTAAGATGTTACAGTATTGTTCAACCTCCTAGGGAATCTTATCCGCGTTGAGCACTGTTTAGAGACTCGTTCACAAATGAACCTGCCAACTTTGTCTGAATCCGTCAACTTTGTAACACTTTAATATCTATTTTCACTTACATATAATTTTTACACATTATAAAATCCACCTCAAACCAAACCAAGGCCTACACTTTTGTTTTGCTACAGTCCTGTAAAAAATTCGACCTTCTGCTTAAGTACTTCCATAGATTTTTCTACAATTACTTTTATATAGTGAAGTATTTGTTAGATATTCGTTTATTTAATATATGCAGCTATGTACTAAGATTCTAGAAATAAAACCGTTGTTGTCAAATATTCGTACGATTTACGGTTATCGCTGAAACGCATACATTTGTAGTATATACACTGAAACAAAAAAAACTTGTACAGATAGATGTTTTGACTTTGAATGGACTTTTCTTTTAAACTATTTTAGCTTTTAAGCTGTAGCCAAGAACAACAGGACCAGAATCTTATACAGTTTTCGTATTTGTATAAACATTTTAACAATTATCTAAAATAACCTTGTTTTGGCAGTCAAAAAAGTCGGATTATCAAGGAACAAGGCGTTGGAGAAACGTTTTAGAACTTCTTGCTTTCGCACGATTTTAGAGCGTATACACTACGAAACGAGCCACAATTAGCGAAGAGAAATATACAAAACGTTGCCTATAAAAAGCATATACATCGTGATACCTAATTTTCAGATTCTGTAATTTTTGCCGATGAGTACTGTTCTGTCATCGACAGCTAAACTCAACTTAAATGGTAGCTACGATTTCATTCAGCACAACAACCCGAAATATGAGCAAGTACATCTCCTGGTTTTACAGAAAATTCTTGCATTCCATGAATCAAATATTGCAAACTATGATAGAGAGCAAAGGAGCACATGCAAAGTATTAGTTTTCCTTAAAGAGTGTTAAAATGCCCAGCTATGCAAACTGCAGAATTTTTTTGTTTAAAAAAAATGGAGTTAATTTACATACATATATGTGACCTGGTCTACGAAAAGGGAGTTAGCGTGCGAAATGACTTTTTGGATTCTATCACGTGAAAAAGTATCTCATCTTCAATCCGAATCAACTAAAAAGTGAAAATGGATTTTTGACACCTAAGCCCCCGTTCCATAGACCAGGTCACATATATATTTTTTGAGGAAAACTGTGTCTTTAAAAATAAAATTCATTTAAATAAGCAAAAAAAAAAATTGTTCGTCATTTTATTGTATGTAATTTGAAAATATTAAAATTTATAAAAAGGCATTTTTAACACTTTGGATGCATTTCAAAGGTTTCAAACCATCTCCCTGTACAAGTTTTTTTGTTCACTGTAAGTTCTTATGCTTATAACCTCGCTTTTTCCAATTCTAGTTCGTCATGGACAGGTTGAGTTCCTCACTCTCGACGGATGGTGGTCAAAATATGACTGTGAGCGGACGTCGGAAATCACCGCCAGCACCAGTTACGCCGGGTCCGCTACCCGAGCCAATGCCACCCAAACCGCCGTTGCTAACCACGCCACCACCCAATCCAACGGCGGCTCCCCCAACTTGCCCATACTGTGCGTATTGTGAATAGTCAAGTTGTGCGTCCGTTGGCGAGTGTAGATGTGGCTTAGAATCCGCCACACCAATTGGAACTCCACCACCGGCGCCACTGCTGCTGTCTAAATGCGGTGTATTGTCGCGTTCGTCCAGATTGTTATTCGCTGTTGTATGGTTGTTATTATTGTTGCTGTTATTCTGGTGTGAGCTGCCTATACCTAGACCATTGAGCAAGTGTTGCTGTTGCTGTTGATGCGCCACTGCAGCGGCAGCCGCCGATGTGCCATGCTGTTGGGCACCGTAGATTTTCGAAATGTCAAAGGCATAGTTGGCAGCACGATCTTGATACATTTTGGAATCGAAATATGCCTTTGTAAGGACGCTGGGGTCCAAGTAGGCGCTGTAGGCGGCACTCGCTTGGGCAGCTTTCGAGGTCTCGTACAGCGTGCCAGCTGTGGCTGCGGAGCTCAGGTACGAGCTGCGATCTAGCGCGAATTTCGGTACATCCATTTGGCCGGTCTACAGAGAAGACAAGAGAAAAAAAAACAGAGAAAAAGCTTAAGTGAACCGTTAAAATAATTGTGTGGTCTAATTCTATAAACATTTTGATTTGTTCCAACCACGATAACAAGCGACTTAAATGAAAGCCATCATTCTGCACCCGCAATTAAGCAATGCTGAGGGAATGTAAACATGCCATACAGGTTACCCGCCCTTTCTAACGGCCCTTCACACAGCTACGGCACAGGCGAGGCGAGAAGACTGTAATTGAATGCAGTTGTAATCGCATTTGTTTAAATGTTTGCTTTTCAATTCAAATCTATTGAGAATCCTATTATTACATTTCACGCTCGTTTTTGTTTTCCTTTCGGTTGATTGTGTTTTGATTTCTCCAATTACAGCTTACGGAACTGCCGAACGGTAGCCAAACAGTCTGTAAGGGTGGATCGTTCTCAGGCTTTGCGCTGCACTTTGCAACATATGTGCTTGAACTGAATGAAAGCAGGGTAGGGGTGTTTGAATTTCCAGAACGCTTTAGGGTATAATTATGTTGTTAACGCACTCTTTTATTTTGTGTAAATAGATGGTGTGTAAAACTTCTGGTAAGATTTGGCTATAAATTTAATTACCAGCGGCGCATTTTCTATACAAACATTGTAGTATAAAAGTTTTACAAGACTGCGAACTAAATCTTTTAATATGCTCAAGGCACTATCAGGTATAAACTCAACCAAAGAGACTAAAATGGAAAATATCAACCAGAGAATCGAAATTCTTTATATTAGGGGGTTATGAGGGAGGGGTTATGAGGTTTAGACCAAGGTCTGGGTTAAGTTAATTCATTTTCTGTTGTAATCCACATAATTTTCAAGGAAACTTGTCTATTTAATTAAAACTCACCAATTACCAATCTGTACGGTGGAAAGTCGGAAATCATATATACATACATATGCCAAATTTGGGGCTAGATAGAGGGACTGGCTGATTGCATTGATTTAGGCATTACTTAGATATACTTGAGAACATATTTTCAAGCGATTTTATACCTAAGTAACACAACTTTTCATTGGTGCTTGATTTGCTTACTCAAAGAATCAGTTGGAATTTAAAATTGTGTTGGATAGGAAGTAGTGGTTGTAGTGGGCGGGACTATAATCCGATTTCAACTTACTTTACACTTTCGATTGTTGATTTAGCTTCAGTGGTTTGGGAGATATGTTTGTACATCTCAGAGTACGGGACCATGCCCATTTTTTAAAATTTGTTATAGAGTTTTGTAAGTTTTGATTAATGGCGCTTTGAGGACGTGGCTGTGGGCCAATGACGCCCCTCTATGCACTCGCATTCACTTTTTGCGCAGTAAAACGTGCCATAACGGTATCTCAATTTGTACTGAAGTTATAGCTTGCACAGACGGACGGACAGACATGCATCCGGATGCCAACTCGTCTCACAATCCTGACCTAATATAAATATGTATATGTATGTATAAAAATACAAATTCCTATGTATATCTGTCTCGATTAGGTTTAGGTGATAAGAACAACAGTTATCTGAACAAAACTGTTATACCTACAAATTGATTCGATTGAATCTTTTATTATCAAGAACGGAAAAAGGGATGACCCTGTGTAGCAGTATTTTTGTCGCAAAGTTATAGATGGACTAGTGGCATATAAATATGGTTCTGAGATGGCCATAGTATAAATGATATTATTCTCATTAGTCTGTCTGTCTGTATATATACGAACTAGGCCCTCAGTTTTCAAGATAACGTTTTGAAATTTTTTATACGTCGTTTTCTCTTCAAGAAGCTGCTCATTTGTCGGAACTGCCGATATCAGACCACTAAAACATATAGCTGCCACACAAATTGAACGATCGGAAAGTTTTCACATTTCACAATATTTTCACAAATGTTGGCACAGGTTAATTTCTAAAGCAACAATACAATCTCCGAAAAAATTGTTTAGATTGGTTAACTATAGCATATAGCTTCCATACAAACTGAACACATAGTTACTAACAGAAATGCACCTGTGAAGGGTATATTAGCTTCAGTGCAGCTGAAGTTAACGTTTTTTCTTGTTTTTCCCTGACTTCGTGATAGTCCTGCGTTCACATGTGGTTTAGCCCCCATTTTAATATAACATTTGATGATTAGATTTTTTAGTCTCGTTACGGTTTCAGTTTCGTATTACTTGATATTTATCCTCGAATTACGACGCACACATATGCAGAACGGCAGGAAGAACCTTCTGTCATATAAGTTTTACTTTTCTGTGCTTGATTTGTTTTCTTGAAGAAGAATAAGTACTGAACTTTTTTCTTAGTTCTCTTCAAGAAATAAATTTTTTTTATTGTCTTATTTAGTTCTATAACATCTCTAGAATATTGTAGATACAGCTTTGAAAAGTTGAGCGCTCGAGGTCAGCTACGCCATCATTTAAAACGCGTTTTCTCGAAGCTTTATTTTCAAAGTCGGTTGTCAAGATTTCTCTGAAAATACTAAACCGATCTTTACCAAATTTTTCACAGGTCTTCGAGATATAATTTACAAGTTTTTGAATGAAGGATGTTTTTTGTTCAATTACAACCGTTTAAACAAAACTAAAACGTCGAGATATTTTCACCTAAATTTAATTTTTTTTGTGGAAACGTCTACAAAAAATACAAATTTGATTTTTTTTCTCTTGTTTCTAATACCTACTTTATTTCCTTAACTAAACTTCGTATTTTTTATACTCTCGCAACAAAGTTGCTAAGGAGAGTATTATAGTTTTTTTCACATAACGGTTGTTTGTAAGTCCTATACCAAGGTGATCAGGGTGACGAGTAGAGTTGAAATCCGGATGTCTGTCTGTCCGTCCGTCCGTGCAAGCTGTAACTTCAGTAAAAATTGAGATGTCATGATGAAACTTGGTACACATATTTCCTGGCTCCATAAGGAGATTAAGTTCGAAGATGGGCAAAATCGGCCCACTGCCACGCCCACAAAGGATTGCATTAGGGAGGGGCATATTTGGTGGACATTTTTCTTGGAAAAGTGGGTGAAATCGGTTCACAACCACGCCTTCTTCCAATATAACGCTATTTTGAATTCCATCTGATGCCTTCTCTGTATAATATATACATTAGGAACCAATGATGATAGCGGAATAAAATTTTACACAAATATGGTATTTGATGCGAGAGTATAAAATGTTCGGCCCTTTCTAAAAATGTTAGCCCTTTCTTACTTGTTTTATTTTTATTTTTGATGATCTTGTAGAAAGTTTTTCTGTCGGAGGCGCCTGGTTTGCGAGGGACTGCCGTAAATTACGTCGTAATGGCCGAGGTTTGAATATTTTCCTTTGAAAATTTCACAAAATGTTTATAAAATTTAGGCAGTGCTCGACGAATCCCTTAGCCAAGTGAACTAAGATATACTGAGATTACTCATCGATCTTCTTACCGAGGTGTGCGGTTTGTAGAAACCGGTTGCACTACTAGCGACTTGCATAGGTTAACATTTCAAGTTATGCATTTTGACACAGATACCTACCAAACTTTCTCTGAGTGATATTACTATTTAAAAAAAAAAAAAAATCGGATATTTTTGTATTATTTAGTTTTTTCTTAATATTTGATTAGTTTATTTTTATTTTTAATGTTTCTAACAACTTTTACAAACGATATGCCAAGAGTATGTGGCCATGAGTAAAGCTTTTGTACATAGGTCAATCTGTACTAATTCGAAGGTTTCCCTTGGGGTTTGTCAGTAGTTTAAGAAGTTTTTACAGGAAATTGACGTCGCTTATTTGAGGTTGGTAGATCAGTTGAGATCATCGTTATTTACATACATACATATATATATAATGGCGGATACAACGCATATTATGTTGCAGCCTAGCCGCCCGCTCGGCCGATCACCACGGTAACCCTTTTCTAATATTTATGTTTTTAAATTTGGGATATCTTGTCAATAGAAGTCTTTAATATGAAGTATTTAATTTAATTAACCTTCTTTAGTTACCGATATTGATTTGCATCAAATCTTTAATATGAAGTATTTAATTTAATTAACCTTCTTTAGTTACCGATATTGATTTGCATCAAATCTTTAATATGAAGTATTTAAGCAAAAAGGATTAATACTAAGGTACGTAAAGCCTTTCCACAGAGTCGGTATTTTAATTATTTAGACATACGCTGTCGCGTCATTCTTTGTAGATAATTATGAATTTGCTTCTGATTGATTTACAGGTGCGTAAAACTTTGGTAACTTTAACCGAGCTAAAAATGCTATTAACTGTTAAGTTAGACTTGACCAAAAATATATGGACCCCACTTGGAGAAATAGTTATATATCCTTTGTTTCTCCAAAAACTCTTTAAAGTGCTCGAAGAATCGTTGCGAGCTTATTCATTGTATATACCATATACATATGTATATATATAAATATATATGCCTATATATGTATATGTCACTCTATATATTAGATTGTCAAAAAAGTCTTGCGGTATTTTTATTGAATTTTCAATTGTTTTATAAATTTTTTTTGACTCATGCCCAGCTCTCGACCGATGCTACGGCAACTACTATGCCGGTCTCTTTCGCCCAATTCAGCTATTTTATCGCAATTTTCGACGACAGGCCTTCCGGAGCGTGGCGCATCTTCGACCATCTCTACACCAGAACGAAAACGTTGAAACCATCGTTGTGCAGTGGAAATGGAAACTGTATCGGGTCCATAAACTGCACAAATTTTATTGGCGGCTTGAGATGCATTTTTGCCTTTATCGTAGTAGTACTGTAAAATATGCCGTATTTTCTCTTTATTTTGCTCCATGGTTGCGACGCTATAACTCACGAACGACCTAAAAGAAACGACAATCAATCAAATACGTGTTAGCGCGTGAAATGAGCTTTCCAAAAAGGTATAGTATCCGTATGACCCGATGCGACGAATGAAACTAGAACTACGCGCTCTCAGCGCCAACAAGCGAAAATACCGCAAGACTTTTTTGACAACCTAATATAATATATTTATAGCCATTTATTGAAGATCTTTCGAATGCTTGCATTATTAAATGCCATGACTTTTATACTCATTGTATTCGGCTTTATTATTATTTTGAGTAATTGAGGTGTTGTAGGCTGACGGTAAAAAGTTGGTGGCGGTGAAACTCGACTGATTGATAAATATGCGGGCGTTGCAAGTTGATTGAATATACATATACTTAATGATGCTGCTAAGGCTGTCATTATAAGTTGGGTAATTATAGGGGTGATGTAAAATGTTGAATTCTCGTTAAGAAGAAGATTTCAGCTAAGAAAGTAAAGGATTGAAAAATTCACAAACTGCGGTAGGAAAATTTACAAATGTAATTTATCATAAGCATTTGTATATTTACTTAATTCCTAAGTAAAGTAACTTTATGAAATTGAACTGTTTTCCAATATAAACAAAGTGATGGGTGTATCATACTTATAGCGCCGACTATATATGTATTTCGAAGACATGAAAAAAATATGAAACGGACTTCCAGGTTTGGCACTTTTTTATTTGCTTGTAATGCTTAAATACATGATAATCGTATGTATTCAAACAAATATGTTCTGCATATAAATATTGTATTATTTTTCCTTTCTTATTGCAGCAGGTGCAATTTGTCACTCCTCACTCAACAGGCAAACAAGGTCCTACATAATATGTCAAGTACAGAACGCCCACATGTCGTTTTCATTAAGTGATATGTGGAACCAGCATTAAACGCGTTTATGTTTAACAATTAAAAGTACTTGTCACGCCTAAAACCGTAGCTGTCTTACCCTAATTCTCTGGATGATAACCAACTCCAGACACTTTTTACACGCTTACCAAATTGTATCCTTAACTGTATGCGAGGCAATGTGCCCTTCATAAAATCAATAATTGAATAATTGCAAGTTCGCTTCAGAGCACTAACAGCAGGGCACATAGAACAAACATATGTACATACATACATATATAATATACCCTTTTTCTCTCGGCTTTTGTATTTCCCATGCGCCCTGTTTACTCTCCGCCTATAGCGTGTGCTGTAGCTATGAAAAATTCTTCACAACAAAGTTGACGATGACTTGATATAAATCCATGTCCGTTGTAAATTGGTGTGAAAAAGTTCAAAGGATTACGCGAATGCATTGAGTTGCACTTGAATAGGCCTAGAGCAATTTAGGGCAGCGTGCAGTACAGTGCAATATTTGATGGCTTCGTTATGATAAGGTTCACATTGGGCATCGCTCGCCGTTTTAGCGTTTGTATAAAAACATAATAGGCAGCAGTGAAAAGTAGGCATCAGTATGTGGAAGTTCCGTAATTATGTGATTAACTTGAATAGCAAACACACGAGGTGCCTCTTCCACTTGGTGCATCTTAAGTGCGTTGCGGAGGTGGTCGGTTCGTTGCAACCGTTACAAGATCGCCGTTGTTGAACAGTCGGTTAATTTCGACTATAAATTCAATTGAGCTGATTGGTTGGCGCCTTGCTCACCGCTTCCCTAAACCGTATACAATATGGAATGGCTCGATTTTCTTTCGAAGGCATTTCGGCAGTAGGTGCTTGTTATCTCGAGACTTTAACATAGTATTTTTTATTTTTATTTTTTAATAGATAAATGCATATGTAATGAATGTATGTATGTAACGACTCACCTGTGATGCTGGTGAATTGGTCTGTGTCAGATGGCTGCCCAAGTGATATGCTGCTGCTGGCCCTGGCGCAAAGTACCCTGGCGTTATACCTGAAATACATATGGAAGGTAACAAGGTGTTTGAATAATTTGTAGAAAACTGGTAGCGCTACTGCCCTATTGTTTAAAATAATTGCCATCCTCTTCAAAATACGCAGCTAAAAATTGAAATCTGATTCATTGTTAATAATTTTCATATCAAAATTAACTCGTCAAATGGCAAAGGGTTAAATTGCTGACTTCATGTAATTGTTTTATGATTCAGCTCTTTCAAGACATTTCTCAAGTTAGTCTTTTAATCAAAAAGAGGTGGCAAACTTCAAAGTACTGATTACGATTTTTGTATAGATAAATGAATAGTAAAAATAGCAATGAATATGTTTTGTAAGTACTCTTGGTGCATAATTACAAGCGCCATACCAATAATTTCGTTTAAAGAAGTACGCAGTTGTTGTCTAGAACTTCTCAAAGAGGTAGTTGTGTGAATACAATGTCCAAATTGCTACTTTTTAGATCTGCCTCCACTATATATACACATACATGATGTAAGTGTGGGCGTTTATAAGTATGTATGTACCCGTAGAGCGTTTAGGAATTAAATATTGTCTGCATATTTCAAAAGTTGTACAACATTTTTCGATTTAAATTATAAAGATGTTTACAACTTTAAAGACATTTTTTGTGAGTAAAGTTAAGTAGCAAAAGTAGTCGTGAAGTAGATCATTGAACTTCTTGTTATCAACTGGTGATAACCGATTCCAGCTTTTTAGACGGTATACAGCTATGTGCCAATAAATGTACATACATCGGTATGTAGAATAACGCTACAACTTAAAAACTATATAGGCACGTGCATTTATATCAAAAAATTATTCGGAAAAAATTCCATTTACAGCTAATTAAAACGCTCCCTCTTTTGGGTGATTAGAATAATGCCAACATTTTTTGATATACCGTTATTATATTCCTAAAAGTCTTGCATTGTTCGTGTTACTCTACTACCAAACTCACTCTGGTTTGTAGTTGGGACGTTAAAGTTCTTTTAATTTTTTCCAAAATAGGAAAGGCGTTACGATATAGAGGGTGAATTAACCAACCTAATTAGAAATAGTTGTTTAAAGAATTAAAATTCATAAGTGGGCGACGCCATGCCCATTTCAATTTTTAAAAAAGCCTGGATGCAGCTTCCTTCTGACATTTCTTCCGTAAAATTTAGTGTTTCTGACGTTTTTTGTTAGTCGATTAACGCACTTTTAGTGATTTTCAACATAGCCTTTGTATGGGAGGTGGGCGTGGTTATTATCCGATTTCTTCCATTTTTGAAGTGTATATGGAAATGCCTAAAAGAAACGACTCTATATAGTTTGGTTGACATAGCTACAGTAGTTTTCGAGATATGTACAAAAAAATTAGTAGGGAGCGGGGCCACGCCCACTTTTCCAAAAAAAAATTGCGTCCAAATATGCCCCTCCCTAATGCGATCCTTCGTGGAAAATTATATTTTAATATCTTTATTTATGGCTTTATAGGTTTTCGGTTTCCGCCCTTTTGTGGGCGTGGCAGTGGACCGATTTCGCCCATCTTCGAACTTAACCTTCTTATGGAGCCAAGAAATACGTGTACCATGATATCTCAATTTTTACTCAAGTTACAGCTTGCACGGACAGACAGACAGACCTCCGGATTTCAACTCTACTCGTCACCCTGATCACTTTGGTATATATAACCCTATATCAGACTCTTTTAGTTTTCGGACTTAAAAACAACCGTTATCTGAACAAAACTATAATACTTTCTTTAGCAACTTTGTTGCGAGAGTATAAAAATGTATTATTCAAGCTATTTAATGAGAAAAAGCTGCAGTACTTGGTAACATTTTTGACCTTCGTAAGTCCGAAAAGCCGTAGAAATAAATTGTAGTGCTCAACAAATATTGTCTTCACTGCCTTTAAACATATACAGAATTTTATAACTTTTTCCAATGTTGCACGCAAAACCGAAAAACTGGAACAGAAATAAACCGCAGAATTAATACTATCTCCCGAAGATACCCAAAAAAGAGTTCCACTCCATTCTAAATGAAATTCAAGACGAATATAATGCCCAAATATCCAAGAGTGTAATTGCTCGGCGTTTGGTCGAATCTGGACTTCACGGCAGGACAGCATGCAGGAACCCACTTATTGATACTTATTGGTCAAGGACAACCAATCGTTTGGAACGATGTTATAAAAATTAATCGCTTAGGTCCTGATGGTTGAAGGTATGTTCGCCGTTCAATAATTCAAGAATTTTATGGTCGCTATGTTCCATGCGTAGTTGAGTATGGTGGAGGATAAATCATTGCATAAATCTGCAATTTTGTTGGTTCACTCCATAAGATTGATGGAATTTTAAACAAGGAGGAATACGTCGACGTTCTAAAAGTGTCATGTCGCCATAGGCTGAGGAAAATTTGCCTGTTATAAGGAAGATAACAATTCAAAACATGCGTCTAAGTTGACACAAGCGTTTTTTAATGAAAATTATGTCAATGTTTTGGAGGGAATCATCCATCCCAGACTTAAACCGGACATCTCTGGATGATGTTGAAATAGTCATATGCACCAAAAATATTCCAAATATGGATTTTTTTGTGGTGGAAATAGAACGGCATGTCAAGACACAACTGAAAGTAAGCAAGTTTTTGTAATATCGCTATTTTTGTTGATAAAATATTTTCGTTTCTAATTAGTTGTCCCACTCAAGTCGTTGATTTCACATGTTTTTTTTAAAACCTTCAAAACAAAAATCAGTTTTAAACAAATTTTTTACCATTAGAGTTTAAGTTTAACATAGATTTCAACAAAATAAGTGAAATACAATAAATATACGTGATTTGTTAGAAAGTAACATCATTTACTTCAAAATATGTGTGGCTTCTATTTAGCTGTCAACAGCTGTATATAGTACACGCACATATAAAATAGTACTAGTAGTAACTAGTATCTAGTGGCGTATCCTTTCATCTTAATAACCTCCCTTTATCCATTCTGTATTTAAAAACCAAGTTTTTTGTTATCTTAGCTGATATCTCGGCGCTTTCTTTGAGTATCGCCGCTTTAAGACTGTCTCTTGCGTTATCGTGGGTGTCTGAATGGCGCACTCTAAATCTGCCCACAAATGCTCGATCGGATAACGACTGGGATGTCGTTTCCAAAACTTTTGGTGTGTTATATAATATCAAAGTTTTTTATTGTCAACCGCATTCTTTGCGTCGTAATCTTGCTGAAAGTTATATCGACCCTTAATCCAGATAAACTTGGACTATTCGAATTGTCCCTTAAGATTTGATTATACAGTCGGTTATCCATTTTGTTAGTAATAAATTGCATATTATCGATTTGCACTCATAGATCACACCATAACATTACATTACCACCTCCATGCAGGATTGAACATACCACTCAGCCACCTGTCATTATACATAAAGACATATTTCGCCGTTAAATTGTTGGGGAAGGTAAGTTTTAAATAGATTTTATAATTTCTACTTAAATTATAGAGCTTTGTTACAGTTTTTTGTTAAGAATGAATGCAGAAGGTAACTCACAATAGTCATTCTTAATAAAATGATCGAATCAGTCGTTTATCGTAGCGAAACTCTTAATAATTTCTAGGAGATAAGGATTTTCTTATTATTACTGCTTTATCGTGAGACTTCAATTTTCTAGGCTTGCGCTGTCCTAAGCTTAACGAAATCCTCTGCAAAATGCTATGGATGATTGAAGTGCTTCTTTTTGAGACACTAGATATTTCTTTCAATGGATTTCCTTTATTTCGTATACAGATATTGAATATAATGTTTCTTTACTACCAGTTTCCTTTGACTTTCAACCCATATTTTAGACAATCCAAAGAATTTTAATTTACTGCAAATTAAAACTGCCGAAACCACACAGTTTTGTAGACAGAATGATTGTAATATTCTGCCAAAAGTAGAAATACGCGATTAACGGTGCTATTGCGAGCACGTATACAAATTCGGAATACTCATGAGATGCAAATTCAAGTCAGTTCATGTTTAGAGCGGAGTAAGCTCATAATACTGTTTTTGAAGTGTTGTACTATTTCATGGAAAAGAAAGCTTGGTATTTACATATATTAAAAATTGTGTACGTGAAGCATGAAAGTAAGATAAAATAACTGTTATGAATAATAAAATATTACGAATACTTTTGTACTTTACAGCTATGGACAGAGATTTAGCGCGTTTTCTTATTGCGAAATACAATACTTAATAACGTTACGGTTAAAGAAAGTAAAACCGTTATATTGCACAAAAGCTGTTTAATATTTTACTAAAAACTAAAAATAAATCATAATAAATATACAATGTTTGGTTTATTTTATATTATTAAGTCAAAATCGACTTGAATAAGTATTTAGTGTACTTCAAAAGATCTATAAGGCAAAATATACTTATGTATGTATGTACAGGGTGACGCAAAAGTAAGCCTCCTATCAGAAGATGCTATAATTTTTGCAATTGATCTCTAATGTCAGTTCTGTTTTGACATTTGCGTAGTAAACACATGCGAAATACACGTAAATAAACATGGTATTCTACACTGCTCCAGAACGTGGGTTATTGGTGACTATTTATTTGACCAATAATCGGTCGGTGACTTTGGCACAACGTGAATTTCATCACAGATTTCCTGATCGTCCGACGCTTACTGGTGAATCACTGCCACGTTTAGCCGCTCGAAGAGACTGGCACAACACGAGATGCTGCCAGGCGTGGCAGAATATTGCTGCTGTTACCAAGGATGTCATGGAAGCGCCGTCGACATCGACCATGCGACGTGCCATGTGAATGGGTATCAGTCGACAGTGTTTACAGCGAATTTAGGTATTCAATTTGAAGATGTTTCCGATGCAGATGTTAGATCGCCTGATTTGACCGCTCCAGCCTCTTTTCTGTGGGGCTTTTTGAAGTTGCGGGTTTATGTCAGCAAGCCTCAGGCTTTTGCAGCTCTTAAAGACAATATCCGTCAAGAATGTGAGGACCTATCGCCGGAAGTTCTGGCCAAAGTGACAGAAAAGCCCATAAAACTGGCTCAAATGACAATCAACTGTGGCGGCGGCCATTTACATGATATCACACTCTCGACTTAATAAAAAATGTAAAAAATTTAAAAGAAAAAATAAAAATAATCCAAGGAAGGTCATTTTGCGCCACCTTGTAGATCATTAACAAGTGGCGTGAAATTCTTTGATATTATATCTTCGCTGGTTAACCGTTATTTTAAATCACCGCTTCACCGCTGCGTGGCAAGCTCTCTATTAACCTTGGCATCTGTCCAAAGGAATAGAGTTCATGCTTCCTCTCTCCGCACTAGCCCAATTCTGCATTGATTTCGACCATTATAGACTGGGAGGATTTGAAAGGATCAGCTTTACATTTCCTAGCAATTACTTTATCTTCGCGGTGGGTTGTGTTGCGAATTATGTTTGAGATAACAGATTGCGGTCATTCTTAACATTTTTGATGTCATTGTACCCAATTTTTCTGAAACATTTTACTACATTAGCAATTTTTACTTGGTTTGCACCGATTTTGTAAAGGTCCCAAATAATTGCTAATATTACTAGATATTTTTTTATGATTTTTGTTATTCTAGCAGATTTTATCCCGAATAACCCTTCATAAAATTACGTTAAAACTTTTTCGCAATTAATGGCTAAAGTTAATGCTAAGTTAAGCTTTTCCTAATATAAACAATATGCGAAGTTAATGTAGCCATATTGATTTGATAGATTTTGAGACGCATAAAATGTAGTAACGAAACCTGTTGAGTCTCTGACCTACATATATAATAAGTATATAAGATCATAAGAAACCAATATGGATGTAACCCATTCACGTAATAGCCGAATTATGAGGTAGGGTATTTCCCGGGCCTTGATCTCTCAAAATTCCGAGGGTATACAATGTGCGTTTACACCCGAACTAGCCCTTCCTTACTTGTCTTCTCTTCATCTTGTTTTTTGCAAATCCCAAGAATTTAAAAAGTTCTGTTACTCCCGAACCCTTCAAGACTCTGGAGCCTTATTGCAACTTTAGTGGTCTTGTACATAACCTTTGATCGGAGTGTGTAATTATTATATTACACTAAAGTTAAATGCTCCTTCCTTGTAAAGGTTCGCCTCAAAATTACTTATTTCCAAACTTCGTACGGCAAATTGATTAATGCTAATTCAAAACCTCACAGTCTAAGCAGATGCTCCGGCCCAGTGCGTAATAAAATCGTAAACTAAGGAAATCCTGCACTGCAGTCGTTGGAAGGCAGAATAATTCAATATTCACCCCATATTCACCCCATATTGAATTATTCTGAACCATAAATAGTCAAAGTTTTTTATTGCTGATGCATCACCATGAAGGAGGAATACTCATTTTACGTTAATACATACATACATATGTAGTTAAACTTGATGACTTAACAAGTCTTAGCATACGTTTTGTTGCATTAAAATTTATATCGTAACTACAATGTACGAGTACTTATGCATGCACGCATGTAGTAGTTATGAGGGTGGCTCACACAATAGTTCATCTTATTATGTGTAGATATACATTATTTATAGATATATAGAAATACACACAGAATGCTATGTGGTACAAGTCATCGGTACATTAGTGGGATACGCGATTCTTGACATTCTTGTCTTTCGTGCATGTCATTTAGAAATTTGTCTTTTGGCAAATAATGTACTTCCGACACACTACTTCTAAGCAGGGCGGTCTTCATGGGTGTATTACTTTATGTAATACATGTATATGCATATATACTTGTACATAAATCAATGTTATGCTGACCTTATATGCAAATCCATATGTGTTTAGAGGGAAATTTGATTTAGTTTACAGCACTTACATACCTTTGCATATTAATGAAAAGAGAAAACTACTCAGTAGTGCCTGTACAATTATCCTGTTGCTAAATGTGTTCATTTGTATGTATGTATGTTTTATAATTTGTGAAACATCTTTGCATTTTAATTACCATACACATTAATGGCTGTAATCTAACGTACAACTTTACTCTCTTTAGTGTCTACGTACTCTGTTATGTGAATTCAACATTATGCGACATGTTTACTCACCTGCACGTAACGCCTCCACGGGCACTGATGGATATGGCATCGGATAAGGGTAACCATCTCGGCGCAATGCTTTCGGTTTTCTTCTGGGACGATATTTGTAGTCGGGATGTTCTTTCATGTGCATAGCACTGGAATTAATGGCATAAATAAATTTTAGACATTTTCCGTAATAACTTGAATAGTTTGGGAATTAGTACATCTGATAAGTATGTGCATACATTTTCAATTAAGATAATTGCCCAGCCAATTTTAGAACTTGCTTTAATGTTCTTGGGCCCATTAACTTACCGTAGTCGCTTTGCTTCATCGATAAATGGGCGTTTTTCGTCTTCGGTTAGAAGTTTCCATTCGGCACCTATAATGCAAATTGAAAACAGGGTTACACTAACTATTAAGCAAGTAAAAAAAAAATTTATTATTATCATCAGTATAAACTTTGGCAAAAAGTCCTTGGCTAACTTTTGAATTATTGAAAGAAAATATATTGACAATTACTGTTAAGAGTAAAAAATAAAATATTAGCCAAAAAATTAAACGAAATCTTTCTCACAAAATAAAATGTATTTTAAAGGTTCATTCTTCGTTTCGAAAAATCTTAAGTATAGGCTTCATGGACATCTAAGGACATATCTCTCGGTGTACATATCTTGAAGTGATGCAAGTAGCGCAAGCACAACCAAACATTTCCCCGCSTAATTACCGAAAAAGAAATAATATAATATAATATACAAGACTATGGACACGCGACGGTGTGATATATCTCAGCAGACGAACCAAAGAACAACCAAGGAACGAGTGTATTCTATTGACTAAACGAATCAATGGCTGAATACACGAATATTAAATTGTGAAGGCAAATCAGTAAAAAGTGCCACTGTGTTGTGAAAAATGACTGCTCAGAATTTTACTCACTAAGAGTAAACAAACAAAAGTCAACAATTGATAATGAGTAAGAAAGCACTAAAGGGGTTCAGACTAAAGTGAAAAAGAGTCATAAGGATATGCGGTGCGCACAAAGACAATTGCATAAGTGAATAGGATATACGAGAACCGGTGACAGTGCGGGTATCCGCCCGGTAGCATTTCAGTTTAAAGTACCAGTTTCATACACCGAGTTGTTATGAGAGTATGGAAAATAATTTTCAGAACTGAAACAAAACCGCAAAGAAAGCAGGAACTCCGACATGATAGAACTTAAGATTATACATATGTATATACAATGATGTACCGTACGTTACGACAATATTCAGGACCTGCCCTGTCGAGTGGGCGTTGAATTGAATCATTTGCAAGGATGACGGAGACTGGGGGACTAAGTGGGGTTGAGACGCATGCCTAAGTATGTGTGTATATCAAGCGCTTCCAAGCTTTGCAGTGCGGAAAAGAACGGCGAAATTTGTAAATAGATTTACAAACGCTCCACAGGATACAGAATATATGTAGATATGTAGATCAGAAGCGCACATTAAGACACATGAATTTGCGCGTAGGTATGTAGGTATTGAATTTGTGTGCTTACAGGTTGAATATGAAACCGACACATATTATCTCTAACCCTACTTGCCTAAATATGAGTGTATTCAGGACATATGTATTTGCTATATATACATGGGAGTATGTATATCTTCACATTAGAAGGTACATGTGCTTTTGAAAGCAGTATGTTGCTGAAGTACGAAGTTGTCCAAAAGAACGACAAGTACACTGTCAGTCGAGAACAATGACACCCAAAGTACTAGATGCATGCCTACAAGTACGAATGAGAGTATTTATGTAAAATAGTAGTATAAGCTAGATGGCTATGGTATGACAGGTATTGTACTTGAATGTGTTATAATGTTACTTGTTGTGTTTCAACGAGGCATTATAACGGAAAACGACATATGTGTAACATACAAGTGCCTGCTAAAGGAAATGAAAGCAAATTGAAATTTGAGAAGAGTTGAGTCTAAACTCCTATATGCTAATGACTTTAAAGGTATTATATATATACTATGCACATACTTATACGCAATTCCTATCTGGGTTGCTTGTTGTGGCTCATCATGTCAGTTACGAAATCGGAAAAATGAGTAACATGCTAATTGTTTATTGCAAGTGCTTATACTTATATGATAGACAAGTGCTCAGCGGAAACCCCTTTTTTAAACTGTCAGAAACTCTATTTGCTAGATATGATAAATACACACAAAGTTAATTACTAAGTGAGTATAAGCATTTCACTTGATCACATTTCATCCGGATAAGTTTTTAGGAGTCGGAAGTGGAATACGATCGAGAGAAGACCGACTGGAACAAGGGTTTCATTTGTAGGCTATTTACTAAGTACAAAAAAAGTTGGTTCCATTAAAATTAGTTTCGCATACTTTACTTCATTGAGCTCGCTAAATAAAGATTGCAACTCTCGACGATATAAACGAAACGGATTGCGAACCATTCATAGCAATTGTAATAGTATTTTATTGCTTTTGTTTCTGCGGGCACAAATTAATATGTTTTTTTTGTCAATCAAATCCAAAAAAAATAAAGAAGAGTCTTGACGTGAAATTTAGCATAGATGTCACTACCGTATTATCAACAAAAAGCATCAAACGTCATAACAACATTTGTAGCAACACTGAACACGTGAAAAATGCATGCTGCTCATCACTTTAATGAAAAAATTGCGAATGCTACACAGATGGTTGAAAAATTTGATGTTGAAGTGGAAAAATTCCGGAACATGTGGTCGTCAGAGTCGTAGAAACAATCACCCATCTCAAAGCTGTGAAAACTTTTACAGGGTTTCTGCATGCAAGGTTTAAAAACGCTTTTTTCCGATAAAGTTCATGAAAGTTTCAATTTGAGTAAGCTGTTACCAAAATTTAACCTAAATTTGGAAAAAAATGATTTAACTGTACTCATTGAATGCCTAATTAGACATTTTGGGAAAATTTTGCGCAGAAATAAAGAACTGAAAAAAAACTCAAGCTCAAAACAGAAGTAGCGCTATTTCAACAATCATGAAAAGTGAAAATGACTACGGGAACACAAGTGCTTTTCGCATTAGAAAGCCTCAGAACTTTGCCAGCCATAAATTCTAGCACTGAGCGATCATTTTCTTCTTTGACTTGGCTCAGAACAACGATGCTCCAGAAAAGATTGAACGGCTTAGCACTCCTCAACATAAACCACGAAATTGCTGTGGAACCAGAATAAATAATAGAAAGATTTAGTAAAATGAGCAAACTCCGTATTGATGTTATGCTGTAAATTAAATGTTAAATACTTATGTATAAAGAATAAAATTACAGTTTAAAGTTAGACATTTCTTAAAGCAGTTACCAAATCATAAAGTTGCCCCCTCCCCAGAAATGCTATTCTGAATCCGCCCTGTCTATATGTAATTAGTATCATCTCAACAATTTGTTTTCGTGATATTTTATTTACATAGCCTGAATGAGGGTTGTTGCAGAATCCCATAGTTGTCTAAATCAGAATTGAAACCGATAAAAAAAGACAATAGGTGTCATAAATTCAGGAACTGAAATTTTATCGTTTTGTTATCAGAAACAAAGAAAGGAGATAGTCGCTGGCAGATTTAAAATTTTATTTAAGAAATTAATGTACTTCGTGGTTACGAAATAGCGCCATCCTCAGCAGGTAAACCTAGGAGAATTTAAACAAAGTTCTTGAAACGCCATTTGTGCGGTTTGGCCGGAATGTATTGTGGTAGATGATGTCGGCACTTTGTGGGAATTATTTGCTCATCCACAACCAGTTGCTCCTCTTTTGGTATGAGCAGTACCATTTCACGGATTTTATTTAGAAGTGGTCGAACTTTGAACAGCTTGTCAAATCCATCTTCACCTGGAGATTTCATATCCTCATTGTTGTTGAAATGCAAAAAGCGTTTAATGTTTTCCCATCTATTGCAAGCCATGATGGTGCGCACAAATTCTTGGCTAACTGTAGTATCCCAATAATGCCTCGATGATGGTAATTTCATCAAAGACATGTATAAGACTATGCCTGAAAACCTCACCTCACCTATAAATTACTCTATTTCGCTCTTAGTAATATTTGCGGGCTTATTTATGTCTTTTTGCAGCGCAAGTATGTTCGATTGTTCAACTATAAAGTTTATCAAATCTTCGTCAAAGAAAAATTGAAAGAACTCCGCTCGCGTCTCTAATTCGTCGATAAAACTTGGAAGCTCCATGTCTCCTTGAAATGGAAAGTTTTTACTTAAATACGGGGGCAAGTTATTTTCTTTCCAGTTTGGTGGTTTCGATTTTTTAGCGCGTTTTGCGTTTGAGCTACTAGGCTCGCCATAGCTTCTTCATCTGATTCGGATATATAATCATCGTCGCTTTGAAGCCCATTATCGCCTACATTTACATATCTTAAATTTTCATAAAAAGATCTTGCATCCATTTCTGAAAAAAATTTTACTAAAATGCATGAAAGGCAAAATAGTATGTACTGCATGAAAGGCCATATATGGCTTTGTCCGATTTTGTACAAAAGCGTGCCTATAGTTTTTTAGGTTTGTATTTTTATTGTGTGAACACTATGTTTTTCCTTCGAATAATAATTTTTTTTGTGGGAAAAGTCCTAATTTTTATGATAAAAATTTTGTCCAAATACCGCGAAATACACTTAGCGTTACTCAAGTGAGACACCTTCACAAAATAAACGAAAACAACAAGCAAAACCTATCAAAATCAAACAGTATCTGAAATATCAACAAAGAATTGTCCAAAGAAAACTGCCGTTACAAATTTGTTCCACTACATCATTTTGCTAGTGCAAAGCCAAATGCAACAAATCCCAAAACCATATAGGCGTTGTATGCGGTATAGGGTTAAGGTAGTAAATGTCAACCAGAAAGTCGGAATTCAAGCAATTTTATATATACGTACATACACTGGCCGACAATTCGGCATTAGAAAACGAAAACCAGTGTATGGCAGTTGAGGTAGTACAGACCAGATCAGCTATTATCATGCTACATACTAAACCAATGTTCCCTGGGTTTCACTAAAGTACTTTAAATACAATTTCCAATAACATGGAGTAAAATCAGCCTTATGTTCGAAAATCCTGATATTAGTTATAAGGAGGAAAGTCAAGTTTTAACCCAATTTTATTTATTTTAGGCACAATCCGAAAATCCTTCTATTTGGTATATGCGGGCCCAGGGAAGTATTGACTAGATGCGGCCCATTTTTGATGAGCTGTATATCCTACATGTATCCTGGCTTCAGACCTGGAAAATCAATAACCGACCAGATATTCACCATGCACCAAATCTTGGAAAAGACCCGTGAAAGGAGAATCGACACTCACCACCTCTTCGTCGATTTCAAAGCT